TGAGAGCATGAATGTGTGTGTGTGTGTGTATTGAACATCTCAGAGGTCCCCTCCCTCGCCTGAGTCTTTTACTTCTGCAGACAGGACAGCTTCCTTGTCTGCATGCACTGCCACCTGCTGTCCAATCAAAAGGGATGGCTCTTCCATCTCATTGAGACGTCAGGACCAATAGTGTGCCAGGTATCTTCTGGCGCCACTGTAATAGGTGTGTGTGTGTGTGTGTGTTTATGTGTGTGTGTGTGTGAAGGAGAATGAGAAAGTGAGAGAGAGACCAAATGAGGGAAGAAGAGAGAACAGAATTAGCTGCAGCAGACCTGTGACGGCAACAACACATTGCTTACTTGATGTGAATTTCTAAAAGGGAAATTAACATAAAAGGGAAAATCCACCCTAAAACAGGATTTACATTGTGTGATTTTGGACATTGAAGTCAGCATCTACAAACACAACACTAATAACTGTTGAAATCAGGGCATCAAGACTTTCTAGTGACTCTATCTTTAATAGCTTTATGATTTGTTACGTGCTGGATAAATGACATTACAGTAGTGTTTAAGTCATTGTTTGACTAGTGTATTTGGACAGTGAAAGCTATCTTTGTTGAATTATCAATTTATTGTAATCAAAAATTATGATAACCAGATGAAAAGCTTATGTTTCAAAAAATCAATTCTAACTTTTCTTCATTAAAGAATGTCTTTGCTCATCTGTCCTCACTGACGAGCCACTGAGTTGTATTCCTGCCAGACGAACAGATATTCTACAAAATATTTTCATACAGATCTATATGTGTGCATATGTATGTGTATGTATTATGCGTATGTATGTGTTTTGTTATTAGTTTCATTTTTATTAGAATGTGCACTATTATACCCACAAATGTAAAATAAATACGATGACTTGGATCCTGTAATGACATGATTAATGTTCTGAACTAATTAAAGGATAACGTAAAAAATAGTTTTCTTTGAATGAAGTCACCACTGGTGCTCTTTGAGTCTTATGGGTTGCTCCAGTGTTCACTGTTCAATAACCAGCTCCAGGATTTATCTCATGACATCACCACTACACAGTCAGCATCTCTGCTGCTCAGGCTAAAGGGGGATTTGTTCTATTTCACAAATCAAATCCTGCACAATATCGTAGGAATAACAAATTGGAATTCTAAGCATAGCAGATTTACCCTTGAAAATAATTTTCGTGATGTGTTCAAAATTTGCAGCTATAAAGAAAAACAGTGATATAAGTAAACAATCAAAACACGCCCCTGCCAATAAAAGACGTCTCTAAAACTCTACATCCAAGATATAGCTATTCCGCAGCAGATCAATGGCACTCTTTGAAATGCAGGAGGGAGGTGTGATGAAGCACTCGGCTCTGAGCACTTATCGCGATGTGTAATCCCATTAGACAAGTCCTTTCATCATCATCTCAGGAGAGCTCTTAGAGGAGCTGAAAGGGGAGCTGTGCTGCTCTGGCCACAGTGTCGTTCAATAAAGTTGGGGATAGAGGAGTGGGCATGAAAAATGTAAAAGTTGAAGTTGTTCATTGATTGCAGATCCTCAGCTCAATTTTGGTATGCGATACTGAATATAAAGATGTACCGCACATTGAAGTCAATCAGTTCTGTGTACATATTTGCGCCATCTGCTCCTCTGATTAATTTATGGAATGGCTTAATGTTAGTAAGATGGTGGCAGTGGGAGCAGGTGAATGAGGGTGATTTTATGGCTGTGAATCTGCAGAAACAGCTCTCCACACTCTATTTGTGAGTCCAGATTTCTAGTTTTCTGTATTGTCTAGGCGCCCTTTTCAAGCTCTGCTGTGTACTATTTGTCAGCAGTGACTGAGTAAACATGATGTTTACTATGGGAAAAATCTCTCAGCTAGCCAATATGGCGTGGGGGAGGGGGAATGATTGAGATTTTAGGAATTGTTGAACATGAAAAGCTCTCATTCCCAAAAGCAAACTATTGTGATAATAGGTCATTATTGGCAAAGCTTAGGGCCGAATAAATTGTATAACAAGGTTTCTACACATTGTCAAAAAAAATGGCAGGTTATGGCCAACATTATATGCCATGATAATGAAAAAAATATATATAATCCATCCAAATTACAGGCATGCCCAATCACAACTGTCATAGCAAAGCCAGTGGTAAAATCAATTACCTTGGTAGTTTAACCACAACCCACTCAGAAGCAACAAAATCAGCACTTCATCCCAATAACTGTACATATGAATCTAACCATTTTGTGGTTAGGATGTCAGAATCAGCTGTTTGACTTGCCAGTGTGATGAAACATTGTGAGATTTAGTTGGATTCGTCCGGCTCCTCTGCAGCAGGGACAGACTGCTGATTCCTACATTTTTATGCAGCTCGGCTCGGGGTGACCTCTACCGTCCAGAACCCCTCAGGACCAAACGCATTCAGCAAAAGAGAGACGAGACATTGCTGCAGCAGAGGGGAGCAGAGAGCAGAGACAAAGCACGTGGGTCAGTAGGAAATCTTCCCCGTTAGAATCCCCGTTTTCTTATCTAATCATTGCACAGGCAGAGAGCTGGGACCAAGACCGCCAGTGTGGTAATCTCTTTCATGCGTAGTCAGCAGTTTTCCCAAAATCTCATTAGAAAGTTTGCTGTCAACCTGCATGTCAAAATCAACATAATGCCAAAGAGAGAAATAGTGGCCTGCAACTCTATTTTATGTACTGCAAACGTATCTGTCTAAATAAGCTATTCAATCTTGTGCTGACTCAGATTTTTCCTTAAAAAGAGAGAAAAAATCATTATAGTTACAAATTATGTGAAATGAATTAATCTTACATTTGCAGCCCAATGTACCAGAAGTTATGAGACATCAAAAAAAGATGTGGAATTTAACTCACTACTCTATTCCATTGTTTTCCATACAAAAAAGGCCACAGGTTTTCGCAACTCTTGCAAAAAGTGTATGTAAAGTGACTGCTTTGTGTCATAGCGTACCATGAGCATACTGTACAACTTTGAGCTGCACAATGCGTGTGATGTCAAAATTGTGTTTTCTGCTAAAAAAAAATATGTGGAGGATGATGTAGTGTATACATCTAATATAATAATCAGAGCAGGATGTGCAGCAAATACACAGTATTACATGTTAAGAGCAGTTTGTATGTCAAATATGAGACGTTACCTCTTAACTCATATGTGATTTCTGTGGAAAAATAGAGGTTGATTAGCTAACCTGGATGCTTTTTTTCATTTGGACTATGAGCAAGACGCAAGACCACATGTGTACTGGACAGGTTGTTAGTGGACCTGCACATGATGAGATGTGCTGAGAAGTTATGCTGGAGTGTTACTCCATCTACTGGTCAAGGAGGGAATACAGGGAGCACATAGTAGAATCTGTCGCTCCCTGATGGTTGAAATTTTTTTCTTACCAACACAGCCTCTCTACATCCAAACATTACGGATCAGAGAAAAAAAAAAAATATATATATATCCCATAATGTATCACTTTCCCCTCTTCCCTCCTATAATATGTTAGTTTATACAGTGCTGTCCAAGTATAGCAGAAGCTACTGTTCAGGGGGATTCATCAAAGTTTGACATGTACAAACTGCTCACTGTTCTGTGTGATTTTTATAACACAGCAATAATAAAATATATCCTTCATTGCTCCCTCTATTTGTGAAGTCCTTACACAAAGCTAATTTCCTTGTTAGGATATTAACGACTGCACACTTTAATTTCTCTGCCCAATGACATTTTGACTAAGCCATGAACTTTAACTATAAAGCACAAAGAATTTTCTCCTTCACCTATGAACAGAACAGTCATTACCCACCGGTTTCACTAAAACAGACACAATGGCGACACATACTTTTTCACAGTGTTGTGGGTGTCTGCTGGTTATTTTGGACAGATTTTATAGCAGAGCCAACAATTAAAGGAAGTTCAAGCTTTGGTTGGGCCTCTCTATTTCTCTCTCTTTGTCAGTGAGAAGGCTGAAAGTAGTCAACATCTTAATATAATACACTCACAAAGGATTTGACTGAAAATCAACTTACTGTCTTACTGAATGGGTTGGCTTGACTAATGTGGGATGGATTATGATAAAACTGCAGAATAAAATACAAAGCTGATGGGGCAAATGGGCTGGTCTACATTAAGATACATACCAATAAGACTACTCGCATCCTTCCCTCTGACTGTACTGATGACCTTGCAGATTTGGCTTTGAGTGTATTAAAACAACGCTAAGTGAGGCATCAAGAAAGAGTAACATGAGGAGTTTCAGTTTCATTCACTGTATCGTGATTTGTCGTGGAGCGAAAAGAAAAAAAAGAAAAAAAAAAACTTGCATTGAAAGGGTATCTGTGCTTCTTTTCTATCTTATCAAACTACAATGTTTTTACTGGATCACTCCAACTGGGAAAAGACCAGACGTCCAATGCAGGCACTGCTGACCTGGCAGACGCTGTGGAAAGACTGAGCTTACTAACAAATATGCTGCAAATCAGAACAGAAACAGGCAGATATCCACATAGTCACTCAAAAATGCTCTAGAGTAGCATATTTCTTGCATCATTACAACGGAGAAACTATTAAAAGCACTTATATTGTTGCCACCATCAATTCCAGCTGTGGTTTTGCCTTCAACACCCATTTCAGACCCAAGACTGTAAGTGCTGGTGCAGCTAATGGCAACACTGTCGCCTGTGGTCTCTGTGGTGGAGGGAAAAAATAGGAGAGTGATCGAAATATTTATCATCTGTGAAAGGAGCAAAAACACTGGTGAGTGTTTTGGACTTTCCTATGGTGAAAGCTGAAGAACTGAGTCTTACGGCGCAGGGGTGATTCTGTTTTACATTAATCAACCTGAAGGAAATGATGGGAGAGGAAGTGATTATAGAAACAACCCCGTCTCCCCACCTCCAGGATCTCTGTCCTGCATAGATAAGCCACTCCTGTTGCTAATTTCAAGCAGAAAAGCAGGAAATGTGACAGTGTAGTTTTCCGCTTCCATAAACAAGACGACTGCCAGAGTTAGCCGCCAGTCCTGTGTGCCTCTGGGCTGAGTCTCCCCTCTGAGGGAGACAGACACACTGACAGAGAAAGTGAGCAAGGGACGAAAAGAGGGAGAAAGTGAGAGAACAGGAAAGAGGGGAGGCAAAAAAGACAGGAAAACCCATCAGAAGAACAGAAAGACGGGCGAGACTTGACAGAGGAAGAGGAGAAGGGAGAAGAAGAGAGATTAAAATAAAGACTTGAGAGTTGAGTCTCTCTTCTTCTCCTCTAACACAGCAGATAAAGTCATGGCCGAGAACAACACAAATCTCTTTCTGGAAATACTTCAGTCTTTCGATGCTGGTGAGTTTTTTTTTTCCAATTTCCCTTCTCTTTTAGCTGGTCTTGGCTTTTTCATGTGGTCTCTGATTGGCACCTTTGTTCTCTCAGGAATTTAAGCTTTAATCACCCCTGGAATAGATTTAATGTGTGGGCCTGGTTCCTGTTGAGATTACTTGATCAAACAAATTAGAATAGTCAAAGAAAACCTTTTTCAGTTTCTAAAAACACTCCAAGTCCACATCTTTAAAGTACTGTTATGTTTTCTTTGTTTTTTTTTTTTTTCCTCAGTTTTCCCAAATGTCATTTCCAGATGACTTTTGGCCAGTGTCTGTTTTCCCCTTTCCTAAAGTCTTAGAGAAAAAAACCCGCTGTGGAAATATGGGCTGGTGGCAAAATAAGTTCAGTCTTTTTAACGTTTAACTGTATTGAAAGGAAATTGATTTGTTTTCCCTGGCAGAAGTCCAACAAGATTTGTCTTAGCCGCTGTATTCTCTCTCTTCTCCCAAGCACGCTTATGTTGGCAAAACTGCTTCCAAGGCAAGAAGCAGTGAACAAAAGTCAGTGCCCTTTTTTGTGGGAAAGAAATGAAATCAGTTTGTTTTCTCCAAGAGACTTGCTCTGGTAAACATGAAAGACGGAAGTCTATTATTATTTTGTCAAGATGCACAATCTTGTAAGACCCTGCTGGCAATCCTCCATTTGTTACACACAGATGGTTTTTGTAATCTTGGTAAGGCCATAGATTCTAATTAAAATTCCTTCCGTTCCCAGGGGATGACATAAAAAGACTGCTATTAAGGATAAAGTGCATTTAGATATATTGCATGTACATAACTATTTTAAAACTCTTGCCCTAAAGAGTATAAATGTCAATGGGGTAGAAGAGATAAAATGCAAATCATGTAGAAAGCAAGACTTTGGAGGATATTTGTGAAGTATTAATTAAAAATGCAGACCATAAATGATCCTTTTTGTTACATGTTTCTCTCTTCACAGTCCCGCTGATCATAGCTTTCTGTGTGTCCATGGCTGTGGGCCTGGTCTTGGGGGCCCTGGTTTACGTTATCTTGACCTGGATGTCCCGACGCAGAGCTGGCTCTGCCAATATCACCCGACGCCCGCCTCGCCGGTCACGCACCTCTTCCCGCAACCGTCCAGGCTTTAACCGCAACAGCAGCTACGACCGGCGCAGCAACAACAGTTTGGTCAGTGCTGCTTTCAGCTTCCACCGCCAGACTTCCTCCCCAGATCACCTCGACCCACTGGGGCACAAATCCAGCTTCAGGGCCTCCACTTTCCACCCTCTTCTTCAGTGCAGCCAAATCGCGAGGGAGGCAGAGGAGGGAAGCCAGACCACGCTGCCCCGTACACCGACTCTAAGCACAACGTCTGGGTCACCTCAAACTGCAGCCCAGCCAGCTGCTACCCCACCCAGACCTGAGTCATTTTGGGGGAACAACGGTCTGAGGGGTTTCCATGCTACACAGACCCCACCTCCAGCTTATGAGAGCATTATTAGAGCTTATCAGGAAACATGCACCTGAGAGGAGAGAGAGCACTATGCTGACACAAACTGAATGAGCCCTGAGTTGTAAATGGATTTACAAATGATATTGGACTAAAGCTATATTGATTTATATGTCCAGGTGGGGCTGGGTGGAGTGAACAAGGAAGTCGAGGTCGAATGTGCGTCCTGCTCGACACAATAACACTCAAGAACAACCCGTTTTGTATGTCTTTTGGTTAGTTAATATATATCTGGTGCTGACAAAGGCATACTTGTCTTTCATCATTCAATACTGATGCAAAATATTTAAAAAAGAAACAAACATTTGACACTTTCAGCAATGTTGCAATGGCTGCTTACTGGAACCAAAATTATTCCTCTTAAAAATTAGCAGCCTGTATCTAATGGTGATTGACACTAACGTATGCTTGCACAGAATCTTTGTTTAGTTTAGACAAGGCAAAAATCTACAAATACATACTGTTGGCTGGGCATTCAAGATGCAAGGCAAGACTTCTGCTTGGTTCCTGCTGATCATCTATTAACTATGCAAAACAGAGAAGGATTGTGTATGTGTACCCCACAGGAAGACGAGTGTTTGTGTGTTAACCTGTAATTAAGAAATTGTAGATGTGTCATTTATGTATCAATGCAAAAGTGGATATATGGATAGTGTGGGTATGTGTGGCATTCAAAGTAATTTAGTGTCTGTGTGTCTGTGTGTGTGTGTGCGTACGTGCGTGTGTGTTTGCATGTATGTGTGAGCATGAGAGAGAGACAGAAAAGAGGGCATTGGGTGCAAGTTGTTTTTGTATGTTATGTATGTTTGAATGTGATTAACTGAACTCTGCTCATAAGTTAATGCAATAAAAAGCAAGAATCAGAAACACGGCGACTGAGTTTTCCATACAAAGCTTGGAGGATGTTTGTTATCACACACAAAGCAGTGCCTTGTTCTTGCGTATGGCAATACATGGACAATACACATTGACTGTGTTAGACAAATGTTGATTGAATTTTGAGATTGTGGTGCAATTTTACATTGTGATGTTGTCCATTAGTGCATTAGACATAATAAGGGAAATACCTTACAAAGGAAGTACACAAGCAACTGCAATTTAATACAACACCACCACAAACAGCAGCTCCATGTTGATCAGTCATTTCCACCAGCATCAACACCTACTCCTTTACAACCTTTACAAAAGTCGGTGTTGGGGAGTAACTATTTACATGTAACCGGATTACGTAATTAAAATTTAATTAAATCAAAATGTTGGTGATTACAAAGGGGTTATATCCAAATGTATTCTTTTTGGTAAAGAGATGATTAGTAGAATAACATTTATTCTCTTGCTTTGCATCTTCTAGCTGAGCTAGAGCGCCTTGTTTTGGCATATCTGCAAACAACCTGAGTGTTATGTGTGATAGGTGTGAGATCTAATAACACTCACTAAATTAATTCAGCAGTGTGTTTTCATTAGGGAGGTCATTAGGTAGTGATATTTCTATAGGGAACCAACAAAGTACATGAATGGTACTTAAAAGCAATCAAAAAGTAATGAATTAATTTTTAAAAAAATGCATTACTTATTGCATTTCTAACAGGGTAATTCGTCATTTGTAATCCATTACATTTCAAAAGTAACCTGTCCAACACTGACAAGAGTTAGTATTTGTTTCATGATTGTTCTACACTACAGGTGTTTTTATTATTTTGTCCACCCTCTTTAAGCGTGCATATTATTTCTCTAGTCTGACTGCTGTTTCCTGATAGGGAAACTGGTCTGATGCAGTAAAGTTTGGCAGGTGAAGGACATTGATGTCTCCAGAGCCCCTTAGCTTCACAGGACCAAAAGAACAGCTGCTTTCCTCACAGCACTAACACATCGTATTATTGCACGTCGAGTGAATAAAAACTACACACAAGGAACAGCATACGTCTAGTATCGTTTTGATATTAATCTAAAACATATTTGTTGATAGCTTTTTTTTTTTTCATTTCGCGTTAGTTGCGGCATGACGTATTATTTGTGAGACAAGTTTACGTTGTGTTTTTGTGATGACCAGGCGCTGCAGTGGTGGGAAATATTAAGACAGTCCTTTTAAAACTTGTCAGTCGATGAATAAGGTAATGTCCCTGTACAGCAATGAAAATGAACCCGCACGAAAAGGTTAATTTAATCAGTCAGCTGGGCAGCTTACAGTTCAGTACAGTTGTTAAGCTCTGAAAGCTCTGACACGTTAGCCAAAAGCTAATTCTTTAGTAAGTTGGTGTTAAAGGTAAACGTAGCTTTGTGTTTAATGTTAATGTTTGAGTTAGGAGTGTCAAAAGGCTTGCTTTGGTGTAAGATAACGGTGAACGATGAAGTTAGACTGACTGACCGACTTAGTTATTCTGAGTTAACACCAGCTAAGTTAGCTAAGGTTAGCTAAACGACTTGTGAATGAGTTGATAACCTGATAACATTATTTCGCTGACTGTATTCGACATTAATTATTTATCACAAGTTGGTTAAATGCTGGTATTGTACGTTTGTTCGCTCATTACAGTCGTGAAGCGCCAGTGAAGTTTTGCATCAGGTACCTTTGATATACGTACTTGGCATTAAATTAGCTTTAGCAAACGTGCTATTGACCCCACGATACGTAATTGAGTTTCCAGTGTGAGATAAGCCCAAATTGGAGTAAGTGGCTGCTCTTCTTTGGCGGTTTGATTTACGTAACCTAGCCTCACCATACTGGGGGTCATGCAGGCGGAGGATGTCTGCTGCAGCTCTACGTTTGATCCGCTGCCGGAGACTGAGCACAGCTGGGCCTCCTGGAGTGAAGAGAGTGCTTCAGTGGAAAGATTTAAGTGAGTTAATGGACCTGTATTTGTCTACGTGTATGCTGTTTGTTGTCAGCAATCACGAAGACCTAATTACTCTAAAAACACGGATTCAGCCTGTATGATTTTGTGTAAACTGTTTTAAAGCCTTTGTAAATATATAATTCTTTCTGCTGAAATGTAGGGAAGGTTGCTAAAGTAACTGGTGCAGTTGTCTTGGGGTAAGTTACAGTATTTACATGCAGATTTTACTACTTGACTCCTAAATGGCCAAATCTCATCCTTGTAGTTTGTGTGTAATATCGTGAATGTGCCTCAGCTTGTCCATTATCTTTCTGCAGGGGCTGTCTTTTTATCACATATGAGGTTGTAGCCTTGGACAAGGCTGTGACCATTGACACTAGTGCAATTTTTCAAGAGAAGTACAAGTCTTACATTTATCTGAGAGCCACACCCTCAGATGAAAAGGAGAACCTTACTGCAGGTAATAAATGTCATTCATTGAGACTTTATAAGTGGGAAGTGATGTGTCCCTTTAAAACACCTTAGGAAACTTAAAAGGACTATTTTTCTTTTTAGTTTAGATGTGTTGTTTTTTGGGATATTACCCTACTTCCACAGACAGCCTGGATGACATCTGACAAATATGCTGAGTGGCTTCATTTATTTCTTGTATATTGTAAGTTTGTCATGTCCAGATGCCCAATGACATCTGCGAACATTTCTTCCTGCCGTTCCTTCCTTCCCCTCTTCACTATCTTTCCTGCCTAAATATTTGGGTCAGTCTGCTGCCTGATCTCACTTCCACTAGTCAAGGCTCACTTATGTCATGGAACAATCACCAACCAACCTACTGTATACTGAGAAACCAACTAGCAAGCAATACTACAGTAATAGTTTGTTATTGTGGTAGTGTAAATGTAACCCAGATTTTGTAGAAGGCCATGGTAGTTATTTTTTCCATTGTGTGTGTGTCTCAGGGCTTACACACAAAGCAAGGAGGGAACTTCACAAAGCAGCACGGCGGTTTCTGGAAATATCCTCTAGGCTTTTACTGCGATCACTAGATGGTAAGAAACCAAAAGTTGCCTTTATACTAGTTAACCTGGAAACCAAGCTGAAAAGTCCACAGTGTGAAACCATAATACTCCCCCCCAATGTTTCTTTAACTAGAAAGCAGAAGCTGTTGCTAATAGAAGCACAAATGTTTACTCTCAGTAAACCCAGTCAGTGCCCAGTCATTTTTATGTGGTATGAGGATGAAGAACAAAGGAAACACCTGCCCAGCACATGCACATCCTGTTTTTGAATGTCACATAGTTCATGCATTAAGTATATTGTGCAGCTGACAGTAATATAGATGATTCTGATTGTTTTGTTCCCCCTATATAACTATATTTATCACTTACTCCCAAAATTATATTACAGTGAGCTCTCTAATAAATTGACTTTTGACCTTTTAAAAATGAACAGCTGCCAAACTGATGACACAAGGTTTGCAACCACAAGGTTTGTAACTTCCTAGCTGATGTAATCTGCAGGTGGTGTTGTAGATCCTGATAGTTAGTCATCGTAGACAGAGTGTGAGTATAATTTCAGTGTGCCCATAGGGACATTTGTGCACACTTTAACTCTTTGTTCTCTAAATGTTCAGCCAATCAGTTTGTTCTGTATTGTTAATGTTGTAGAGCACTTTAGCCATGTAGATGCAGACCCACATGAGGTGGCATTATGGGTCCTGCTGAAGAGGACACAGTCAGCCAATAAAGCCATCAGACTACCAGCTGTACAGGAGCTTGCAGATAATCACCACTGGCACGGTAAAATATGCAAAAACTGTTGCATATCATGTTGGGTGTATTTACAAGTGAAATGTGGAGGGATTAGGTCACACCTGTTGTCTATATTACAGACTACCAGTACCAGACAGCAGCCCAATTTATAGACCAGCGAACAGCAGTGGGCTTGGCCCGGACTCCTCAGGTAGACCTGCGATTCTTCCTGCCCCCACCTGTGCTACCTGATCTGGAAGATGTATGTATAATATGCGTGACTATATGCCTATTGTTCTCTTGCCTTAGCTTCACCTCACACATGTACTGAATTTAAGATGGTAACTAAGATCTGTTAACAATTTTTTCCACAGGGTTTGACAGCAGAGGATGGACTGAGACAGCTGCTGGCGTCTCTGCCTCTGTCTGAGGTGGACAAATGTGTTCAGTACTTCACTTCACTGGCCCTCAGAGAGAGCACTCAGTCCATGGCAGCACAACGGGTAATCATGACAGATGTATTAGTACACGTACTCTGTCTTAAGTCTTTAGGAAGATGACGTCCTGGAACACAAAATAGCAGGACAACAACAATCTATTGTATGCCCGAAAGGTTTGAAAACTCAAATCTCTGAATGTGGTCACTAACACCCGTGCTCTCATGTTACAGGGTGGTCTTTGGTGCTTTGGCGGCAATGGTCTGCCCTACGCCCAGAGCCTCACCTCTGTCCCCTCAGAGAAGGTGGAATCCTTCTGTCTGCAGGCACTGGTACAGCACTCAAAGGTAACAATGTCCCTTGTGCATCTAAATTTGATTTTGTTGAAAACAAATTCAAACACAAAGCACTCTTTGAAGAAAGAGCTATTATCTCATTCTTGAATCAGTCAGTGCGGTGTGTGGAGAATATGACTGACATTTAAGGTGAAGTGAATAACTGGTCTGAACTTACTCACACACATTTCTTGTCTACAGGTCCAGAGCCACTGTGACCATATAGTTGCCAACGGGGGCCTGCAGCTCCTCCAGAGGGTTTATCAGCTCCGTAGAGACTCCCTGAAGATTCAGAGGAACATTGTTCGTATCATAGGAAACTTGGCGCTCAATGAGAGTGTTCACCAGGCCATATCCCAGTCTGGTAAGTCTGTAACACATCAGATTATTCCATAAAGGGTTCTGCTTATGTGCAATCTTGACTGGGTGTATTGAGGATGTTAATAAAAACAACATCTAAAGCCTATTTTTGCATGTGCCTATTTCATCTACAGATAACATATTCACAATTACAAAGACTATCAACTGTCAACCCAGGCATGCTTCACAATATTCATACTTGTTAACACTTTGTGTTTGTTTGTTTGTTTTTCTGTTTTTAATTTTTTGTTTTAATACTTTCTATCCCAATTCTAACAACAGATTATAATCAATCTAATCTATTTTTTTTTTCATTTCATCCCTACCTATGTAACACCTTCAGGCTGGGTATCTGTCCTGGCTGAGATGATGCAGTCTCCTCATGTCATGCAGGCGTCTCATGCGGCTCGCGCTCTGGCCAACCTGGACAGGGAGACGGTGAAAGAGAAATACCAAGATGGTGTCTACATCCTCCATCCACAAACACGTGGCAAGTAGGAAAACAATTCATTCCTCTTGTCATGTAATTTTAATAATTAGTTTCATTTTATTTTACATTTAAACCAACACTTGTCTTTGACAATGTTTTCATTTCCAGCCAGCAAATCAAAGCAGATGTGCTTTTCATCCATGGGATTCTCGGGGCAGCATTTAAAACGTGGAGGCAGAAGGACCGCAATACATTAGAGGAAGAGAAGGAGGCAGAAAGCAGGGATGACTACACAGAGTGCTGGCCAAAGGTAAGAAATCCACCTTATTCCTCTTATTACTGTGGAGTATAATGGATCACCATACAGTGTCTGCCTCTGTTTGTCCTACTACAAATCAAATCAAATCAAATGAATAAAATTAGATCAAGGTCCCAAACAGATTTTGATTAATCATAAAGAAATTAATAATCTGTCACTGTTGTTCTTGTGTGTTGTTGTGTCCTTTTATTGACAGTCATGGTTGGCTGCTGACTGTCCAAATCTGAGAGTACTATCAGTAGAGTATGACAGTCACCTCAGTGACTGGATGGCCAAGTGTCCCGCTGAGAATCAGAGGTGAAGAATCTGTAATTTCTTAAAATGTCCACTGGAGTTTAAGTATGAAATACTGTGAAACTTTTATTACTTTTCATTTCTCTAAGAGTTGTAGCTTAATTAGTTTGAAATAGTCATGATGTTTGATACATTGTACAAAATATTAGGCTTATTTCTGTTTATAAGTGTGTTAAGCAAAATCAGTTCATTCTCTTTAATAACAGAGATGACATAATTGTCCCATACTCATACAGCTCTACAATCTCAAATGTTCATTATACACAATTGCAACAGGCTATCAGGGAGCAAACGGTTGATTCATTCTTTGTTTTCGTCTCTTCAGGAAATCCTTGGCCTACAGAAGTCGAGAGCTGCTAAAGAAGTTAAAGCTGGCAGGGGTTGGAGAGAGGCCTGTGGTCTGGGTAGCCCACAGTATGGGAGGTATTTTGTCAGACTGTTCCTTCCACAAGCATGTCAGATTTTCACTTACATCCCTTGAACACAACATGACAAAACAAGTGTCTTGGTCTTATTTAACATCTGCAACTAGATGTGCCTGTATATGTCTGATTTAAAGGTTCTCTATCTGTCTGTATCCTCCGTTTGATTTTTCCGTTAGGATTACTTGTGAAGAAAATGCTTCTTGATGCCTCTGAGGACCCAGATATGCATGAGCTGTTAAAAAACACCAAGGGCATTGTGTTCTATAGTGTTCCTCACCGTGGAACTTCTATGGCCGAGTACTCAGTCAATGTCAGATATCTCCTCTTTCCCTCTATAGAAGTCAGAGAACTTTGTAAAGGTAAGTGCATGAAATCAATTCTGAGGTCCAAGACTGTTTGTGTTTCATAGAACTTGTTCAGTATCAACTGTGAGCTGTTGTCCTTGTGTTTCAAGACTCACCAGCACTGCGAAATCTAAATGAGAACTTCTTGAACATGGCCAGAGAAAAGGAAATCAAGGTCCTGAGCTTTGCAGAGAGGCTGCCAACAAACATTGGTCCCATGATCAAGATACTGGTGGTACCATCACAGTCAGCAAGTATGCAACACACGTGGGAAATAAGACACGTCTATCTGTTACATATAGCTTAAATATGAATGGATGAGCCAAAATAATCTTGTTCCTTTAGCTCTTACCTTGTCTGCTCTCATTTGGTTTCAGATCTTGGCATCGGTGAGCTCATCGAGGTGGATGTAGATCATCTCAACATATGCAAGCCAGAGAAGAAAGACTCATTCCTGTACAAACGCAGCCTCCAGTTCATCCAGGAAGCACTGCAGAGCTACATCAGCCACTGACTGAAATATATGAACACAAACACACTGATACAACCTACTGTATACTTGAAATGGGGGAGAGCCCTGTCACCCATCCACACCCTAACCAAATGGAAACATAACTGCCTCTTCTTGTTGAAAACTTACATAAACACTCACTAATGTGATCATAGTATAATTGGGGAAATTAAATGTATTTTACACAGTGATATATTTGAAGAGTTGCCAGTTGTGATGATTTTATTCTCCTAGTCATCCTCCTAGATTGGTTTCTCTAACTAGTGAGTCAGATGAATTTTAAAGATTGTTTGAATTTTTAAAGCACATAATATGTTTACAAGTAAATTCAGAAAAATTAATTTTAGATTTTATTTTTCTGGATTTTTTTCCGATTTCATCTGAACCATAGCAGTTTAACTTAGCATGTGGTGCGTAATGCTCATATTGTATCAGTTCAAGATGCACTGACATGTCGTTGCCACTAATGCTCCTTACATTTCTGACCAGAGCAATGGTTTAAGATTTTATTTTTATATTTATATTTTATTATAACTGCAGTATGACATGTCATTGTGTGCCAAAACATATTACTTCCTGAGCCTTACCTTAAATGGACCTGTATTAATATTAGTTCAGGTTGCTTTATTTATCTGTATGGGACTAATCAAGAAATTGGTTTTTAATTTCCAAACTGTCCAAACTGCCACTAGCAATGCTGACAATGAATAAATGTATAAAGTTGGAGGCTTTATTTGACTTCTATACACTCTTGCATTGCTTCATTTTTATCTCAAAGCTGCTTTACACTACACATATCATCTTAATGTATTTATTTTACAATGTTAATACTATGATGTTGTGAAATAGGCTTTTGCTGTCAGTGTGACAAAACTGAAAAAAGAACACAGTACATTCTTCTAAGGTTAAGTGATATGACCAAAGAAATGGAGACAATATAAAAATGTCCAATGTCAGAGATCTTCCTTTCCTGTGGTATACATGCCTTTACTATCTCTGGGTGTGTTAGACTATTGTGGAAAATGTAAATAACCAAGCATGACTGCTTTATGGTAATAATATATGCATAAATGAGATGATATACCCTTATTCATCAGATACTTAATTCATTGAATTGGCCAAAAGCTATTATATAATGATATACACTCACTGAGCACTTTATTAGGAACACCATACTAATACTGCAGCCTCATTTCTTTGTGGCATGGACTCCACAAGGTGTTTCTCTGAGATTTTGCTGCATTAAATCATTTGTGCAGATTTGTCTGCTGTTCATTCATTCTGCCAATCTCCTGTTCTACCCTGGTTCTACCACATCCCATATGTGTTTCTATTGAATTGACTCATTATCACGTTCATGAAACCACTTCGAGACGACTTTTACAGAAATACTTATACTAGCACGTCTAGCACTTACAACGATGCCATGGTCAAAGTCACGGAGATCAGTTTTTCCGCATTCTGATGTTTGATGTGAACATTAACTGAATATGCTGACCTGTATCTGCATGATTTTATGCCTTGCTCTGTTTCGACATGATCGATTGGATACTGGCATGAGTCAGCAGGTGCGCAGGTATTCCTACTAAAGTGCTCAGTAAGTGTATTTATGCAACATGCCCAAATTTTTTGCATTGCAGAAGATTGTCCCTCGACACACACCGTACGTCACCCTACGATGCTTTGAGAAGCTAACGCTTTCACATTAGTCAGTCCTCTCTCGTCTTCGTTAACTTCTTCGCCTGAATATAATCAGGTAAGTCAACATTTATTAGCTGATTTTTTTTCTTTTCAGTATTTGAAAATTGCAGTATTAAGCAAAAATATCCCCGGGGTTGTATACTTTAGAACTAACGTTAGCGCTAACAAGCTAGTCAGGCCACAACAAAAAGCCAGCTATTGTTATTTACATGCTAGCACACTGTTTTCGTTTGCTGAAGTCACTTTAAGATATGTTAAAAAAAATCTTATTGAAAGATACTGAGACCTAAACACGCCGAACTTTTCCCTATCTGATCTACGTATCTTTACCGGAATTTCCTCCTGAGTTTAGCGTTTGCTACGTTAGTTGCTCGTGTTTCCAGGGAATTCATGCATTTGTTTGTTACGCCGCAGGTTTTGAGTATTTTCCTCGCCTGTGGACTTCTCTGCACCTGTCAACATGGTCAACGTACACAAAGGTGTCCTTGTTGAGTGGTAAGGAAAGCTATAAATCTGCCCACAAATTTTGCATCCTACTCATATAATGCTGGCAAAAAGATGTGCCTCTACTGATGCTAAGGTGTTAGAAAGAAAAAGTACTGTGATAAAAAACATTTTACGTCTGTAATTCCTCACATTTGTGCTGAATGTACTAACAGTAGTTTTCGCCTCCCCCCCAATGAACCAGTGATCCTGCCATGAAACAGTTCCTCCTCTACCTGGATGAAACAATGGCCTTGGGAAAGAAGTTCATCCTCAAGGACCTTGATGACACACATCTCTTTATCCTGGCAGAGGTGGTTCACACCCTCCAGGATAGAGTTGGCGAGTTAATGGACCAGAATTCATTCCCCATCACGCAGAAATAACTTTTTCAAAGAACTGTCTATTCTTGGACTACAGACTCTTTATTAAATGAATACTGCAATGTTTTAAATGCAGACTGAAATAGAAAAATTGCTGTATTTTTTTGTTATATTACTGTGAAAAAACTGTAAGTAAAAAACAGAGCATTTTGCTTCTTGGTTGCACAATGGCTTAATTTGTGCTGTCTTTTGTGTCCAAGGAGCTACAAGAGTGAGTAAAACAGAAAACAAGTTCACTGTGCGCTTTACGTGCGAAATACCATGCAAACTAACCAAACAAAATATGTAAATCTATAAGAAACATTGAATTCATAATGCAGTGCCTGGGGTCATCTTGGTCACGTGATACACTCTTATTCAGCGATAATAGAAATCATCAGAAACTGATCTAATTTACAGCCACATTATTGATGAATCTTCAGCATGTAGGCCAAAGACTGAGAGTCAATGTCGGGAAATCTTGCGAATATAATGTGTTTTTACAGCTCCTTCATTTGCTGTGGACTGTCAACCTTAATAAGATTTCAAAACATATTTCAATAGAGAAAAATAAAAAGCAATAAGATATTGTCAGACTGTTCTTACAAACTAACAAAACCAAAGGCTATAGGGGGGCATGTTAAATATGATATATTAAGACAAAACAGTTTAGCACAAAGGCTGACAAAGATTATCTAAATTTTATTTGATAAATAATGCTTGTATTTCCCACTATGCAACCCTGCATTTCCATATCAAAAGCTGACCTAAAATCACATATTTCTTGTATTTTACTTCCTAAAAATGAACAACAGCCCAACTGCTATTTCAAATGAGTGAAAGTTAAATCAGACTGCAACAAACGTTGGTTGATCCACATTCAAAATCCTGTTTCTTTGTTTACTGGTGGTGGGCGACTAACATATGTGCCCCTGCCACCTATTGATCTGGAGTGTGAACAATGCTGTTTCTTCAACAGTCTATGTTTCTCTGTAACTCATAGCAAGTAGAAATCATTTGGATAATATCATAAAATGAAATACACACTGTGTATTTGCCTGAAAAACAACAGCAGAAGAAATTATGCAATTATTAAGAATGAGCTAGAGTAATAATCAGCCTGAATTGATAGTTCATTTCAAAACTAGAATGTAATGAAGCTAAGAAACTTGATCAAACAAGGACAGTTTCAAGACCTACCAAGAAAAAAATGTTTTCATATTTTTCTCAGATTTGGAAAGGGCAGTGAACACAGCACAATTCCTTTTCTCCCTGTCTTGCTCAGCAGTTTGGCCCATTTAAACCACTTAGTAACCTCAGGCCTTTAATATGGGGTTTGGTAACAGAGCAGACAATTCAACCGACCTAATACTGAAATAGATATAATGCATTGTTGTGTGTTAAAAGTGTGCAACTACAGCAACATGGTGTTACACTTAATTTTGATTTCTACAATAATACCGTTTAGTATTACGGGTAGATAGTTAAGGTATTATGTCTTTTATATCCGTATTTTTAAACAGAGAGGGGGGGTGCACCGTTCCTGGATGTACTGCAATACCAGGCCGATGCGTGGAGTGGACGGAGCAAGCTCCTTTTCCATCTCCCTATTCCAAAAATCAATTTAATATATGGTCCCCGGGTAGGGGAACTATCAGATATTAAACTGATAAGAACAGATACTACACTTGATCTTAGCCAAAAGGCCGAGAAGCGATAGCATCAATATGTTACAAGCAGGAGATTGATTCTCCTCACTGTTACTCTCACTCACGGTTCAACATAGTTTTAATTACTACAAAAAAAAACAAAAAAAACAACACACAATTTACAACTACAAAACTAGCAAACCAACAACCTGTGAAAGCTCAGTTTGATGTTTCAGGACACAAAAAGTACGCAAGTTTGAAGAGTCTAGTTTGAGAACATTTGGCTAGTACGCCGGGTTGTTAGTATCACGTGATCTGCTATTGCCCAATAAGCGAACACTACAAACCAGTATCTTGAACTCTTATATATAGATTTAACGGCTTGCTTCTTCAGTTAAACTACATAATTGAATTTTCGTATGTCTATTTCTGATAACAAGACTGTGTGTATTGATAGACATAACCCAAATACACGAGTTTGCATTTGAGGGCTCACGGGTTCACAGTGATAACTTGAGCTGTTTCTTCCTCCCTGGTGCAGAATCAGGAAACTACACTCAAAAATAAACCACACTATGCATTATACGCAAGTACATATTTCGATTTCATATCCATTAAATTATTACGATGACGTCCATTTTAGTAAAACTAAACCACCAAAATGTGCACAGACCCAGAGCATCAAGCTAGCAGCTGAACCGCTTCAATTTCCGCCACTCTGTTTCAAAATAAAGGTTGTAATAGATCGATCGATTCATGTAATTCGAAGTTAATGGTAACAGGTGAATTCATGACTAAGTTCTACATTTTTAAGATGCTGTTTTAATGATTTTAAAATATATATTTCTAATTGTGGGAGTAACGCTAAAGCACAACTTAGCGGACTTGCTAACTTTACCCCTTGCAGCCATGGATGTATTATAAGAACATCCATGCTTGTAACTTTAGCCAGCAAATTAGTTAGCCTAGCGTAACATGTGACCGTTTAGGCTAGCAACATTAACATTAGCCTTGCAGTTCGAAAAATACGTTACTAACAAATGTCTACAAAATTCTTGAACGTAGATGTAAAGTCAGAACTCAGTGATGGATGATAATAAATACGCTGGTTTGTAAAATCATTAGCCTACCTGAAATTTTCATCAAAACACCAAGGACCACAGCGGTTACCAATCGTCGCGTTGGCTTCACCTGAGGTGAAATAATGATTTTTCTACAATTGACCAGCAGAGGGAGCTGACTGCCTTCCAAGAGCTGTTTAACGGTGTTTGTAAGAATTTAAGTAAATACATCCAATTGTACATTTACTCAAGTCCTGTACTCAAGTATAAATAGGTCATTGGGCTTTACTTGAGTATTTCCAATTTATGCTTCATTTAACGTATACTCCACTACATTACAGAACGAAATATAGTACTCTTTATTCCACTACATATTGTATACAGTGGCATCAGATAGTATACAGACCTCTTTTGCACACTTTGTTGTTGCTTTAACTGTAAATGCTATTTTTCTCCAGCAGTCTACACTCAATATCCCATGACAAAGTGAAATCTGCTTTTAGAAATTTTTATAAACTTATAAAAATATAGAACTGAAATCACCCATTTACAAAAATGTTCAGACCCTTATCACTTTGTATAACCCGCCTTTGGCAACAACTTGAGATCTTTAATGGGTTGCAATTCTAGGCTTAAAGGCCGGGCCATTCCAGGATAGTCAGAGACTTGTCCCGAAGTCACTTCAGTGTTGTTGACTGTGTGCTTCGGGTCACTGACTTGCTCAAAGATGAACCATCGCCCCAGTCTCAGGTCGTGTGCACTCTGCAGCAGACTTTCTTTAAGTCTGTGTTTAGCTGCATTCCCCTTTCCCTCAATTAAGATCATGGCCTGCCCCTGCTGCTGAGACACAAATCCAGAGCACAATGTCGCGGCCACCATGCTTTACTGTAAGGGCGGCATTTGCCATGTGGCTAGTGGCTAAAGCTGTAGGAATTCGATATTATGAACAGATAAAAGAAATAGTAGAAGTTTTGGCCGGATTATTTGCTTTACTTTGTGTTTTGGGCCCAGCGATTCAATGAACTGATGAAAAAAATGTTTTTCACTCGATACCTGAGTCCAGTAGATCTTTAGAGACCAAACCTTTATTGTGAAGAAATGTGACCGGAAGTCTTCTTCCTTGGTTTACCTGGTATTGTTGATTCTTGAGGTACTGATTATGGACGAGTATCAAACAGAAGAGGAGGTGAGTTGAGTGTGTTAAAGTAGTCACTGCACGTATTTTTTATTTGCCTATAACTTATATATTTGTAAGTTCTACCTAAGATTGTAACTAACAGATAATAATTTGGCCAGAAAGTAGAAGGTGAACATTCACGTCGACTGGCTAGCTTAAACTGCAACTTCTTTTTATGTTTTTCACCTAACAGACTGCGTTCGTCGTTGAAGACGTGAGCACAATAATTAAAGAGGTAATGTCGCTATCTTCTGATTCATCCGTAAAGTTTGGGTATTAGGTATTAGGTATTGGGGTATTATCGGCTCATTGCTACCGCTAGCTACCAACTTTATGTTTAGCGACGCGTTAGTTGCTAAGTAACACTCTAACGGTTGCTAGGCACCGATTCACATAATTTATAGCATAACATACAACTGATTCTTAGTACAATTTTTATTCGGTAGTTTGTAGTTAAGTTGCATTATATGATGCGGTTTACAAAGTCGTGGATTTACATGTATTAGTATTATTACAGTAAGGCAACGAAAAGATAGAGACATTGTGGGTGTTGATTTGTTTAAACACAGCTTTGTTAACAATGTCTCTGTAGTCAGTGGAAGCAGCCATAGGAGGAAATGCCTACCAGCACAGCAGAGTGAACCAGTGGACCACCAGTGTAGTGGAGCAGTGCCTCAGTCAACTTAGCAAGCTGGGAAAGCCTTTCAAATATATTGGTATGTGGTTGCTGCGTCAGAAATAACACGCTTTTGGTTCTTATGCTCTGAGGTTGGCATTAAAAGACAGTATTTGTGTTTTTTTTCAGTCACCTGTATCATCATGCAGAAAAATGGAGCAGGTCTGCAAACAGCAAGCGCCTGCTTCTGGGACAACACTACTGATGGTAAAAATAAAACACCTCTGTGTACATATAATCTTGAATATGATCTAAGAGTTGTTTTCTTCAACATCCAAGAAACACTTAACTTGTCCCCAGGGGGAAATGTAAAAGGCACATAGTGTAATAAAATGATTCTGCACATTATGCAGCCAAGTTACAACAGTAAAAGTTTGTGTGACAGTCTTGAAAATACATAAACACAGGAGAGACTTGTGGTAATTTTATTTACAGAGGAGGTCCTGGACAGTCTTTAAAATGCTCTAGTCAAGCTTTTTGAGTGGTCCACTGTCACAAACTGATGCATTGTCTATATTTCACATGTAAATGCATTGGTGATACTGTCACTGAATCTATTGTGTATTTCACCCAACAGATAGCTGTGCAGTGAGATGGGAAAACAAGTCCATGTACTGCATTGTCAGTGTATTTGGGCTGGCTATCTGAACGTACTACAATGCACCTCAAGCGTTTGCATGATTTTGTGTATTTTTGAGAACCTACATGTTATGTTTTTATGTTTAATGCCATTGATTAAAACAATACTATGCTGTATACACTTTGCTTTATTTACACGTGACATGACAGTGCTATACGTACAACTTTTATCTCTTAAAGCAACAAAAATATCAAGAGCTTCCCATATATGAGGACTCACAACAACCTCATTTAACCACCTTGAATCAACATAAGCCACATTCACACTAAGACAACCAAACATGTACATTTTATGTCAAAAGCATTTACAACTTTGAGACTGCAGCCCATTTAGAAGAAAACTGATGTAAAGACAAGGCACCATCTTGATTAGAAAACATGTTGAGATATTATTTGTAAAGAACAGACACCCATTTGTTTTGGCTGTTTTTGTCCAAAAGCTCCAGTTTCATAAAACAAAGGAAAGTTCAGCAAGTCAATAGAGGCAATATAGAAGGTTACAGAGAAAAAAAAAATCTTACTTGAAATCATGTTCTACATAAGGCAAAATATATGTGGCCAATGGTATAACTACCATATATGCTGGGATACCAAATGTTATAAAATAATAGATCAGTAGTCCATTAACAAAACGATGTAAAATCCATGCATCCAAATCATCAGATCATACAGCATCAAATGTCATCACTTTTCAGCAAAATAAATAACATTTTTAAACAAGTGCAATTTCAAAGCTGCTTTCCAAGGAAATAAGTGGTAAGAGAAGTGGTAGCAGATCAGTGGTTCCAATTCCAGGTCAGGCTCTCTCTATTTTTTTTTTTTTTTTTTAAACGTGTCTGAGGACAAAGAGGATTTGTCAACAGCCAACACTGTTATGGCACTTAAATTCCCTATCCATGAATCTTGTCAGTGATAGTGAGCCACAGTGTACTGTTTTACCATCAGCACAATGTTACTCAGCTTTGGCCAGATATATGCATTCTCATTATTCTCAGACAGTCAGAGAGCAGAAAGGAATGGCAAAAACAACACAGTAGAAGTATATAGAGACAACAGTGTTCCAACACAAAGGATTAAAAAATAGCATTGATTTCACATATAAACAAATCCCCAATTAATATTAGCACTTTTCCCGATCATTTTTAAATAAGGTTGTGAAGAAATGCTGGTTATGAAGGAAAAACATTTTTATAAACTGGTAAAAATTGTATTGTTTTACATCAGTGTTTCTGCTGTTTTCAATTAGACTGAAAGCATAAACAATGGAGAGGAAAGTCTGAGTGGCTACATGCCTCAACTTTCAGTAAATTTACAGTACATTCAGTAGACATGGAATTTATCTTTTTAAAAATATATTTATGTACACTTAGGGTATCATATCATTCCATAGTACCAATCCAAATATCCTGTATGTACACATAGACATGATGGTTTGTTTTAATACATTTTCATAGTTTCCAACAGGGACACAGAGGAGGAGCAGTCAGAGATCCATCAGTCACTGTCACTCTCATCCTGGTACTTGGTGGTTGCTTTGATAGCACGTCCGTTTTGTAAAGGCATGTCTTCATAATCACTCCTTTACAAAAAAAAGAGAAAGAAATATCAGTGGGTTTATGTATGTTCACCCTGTGTATAACCTGCCAAGCTGTAAAGAGTAATAATTCACAAAAGCCATCAACACTGGCCTATTTCCACAGGGAAAACCTAACCATCTGAAGTAAAGTGTGCTTTTAATTTAATTTAATCACAAAAAATGCCAGCTTAATTGTAGAGGCTGTGAGTTGTCTGATATACTTACCCATATATCACTTCATCATCTGAGTCATTTAGCATGGAGAAAGCAGGATTATCCTTTAACTGGGAGTCTGGGAAATTAAACAAAATCAGGTGCATTGATATAATAGTTCATTATCTACTGCAGAAAAGAGAGAAGATGTAGAATTAGTAAAGGCCGCGCTGTATTACCTACCGTAAAGGGCATTTTTAGAGGGGGAATACACAAATGCTAATGTGTACAAGTAAAAGTTGAGTAGGCCATAGAAGGATAAAAATTCAGCTGGTATGTCTGGAGTTAAAGAATAACAACTTTCCATTTAAGACACTAACATGTTATGTCACATGGTATATTTAAAGTGAAATTGTGGTTAAAAGAAAAATTAGAAAGGATATAGTTTTGGTAATGAGTAGACAATTCAGCCACAAAGTTGTCTTGAAGAGCCTTTGCACCAAACCTCAGGTAGAGAATGACCATGCTGGAGAACAAAAAAAAAAGAGTAACCAGAACAATCGGATCAAATTAGACCAAACTCTTCAAAAAACTCAATGCACAGAGAGGGTGCTTTTTTTTCTTTTCCAATAAACACACCTTATAATGAGCACCACAAACGTCAGCGCTGTCAAAAACTTCAGCCGAAGATCTAGTGTTTGAAAACACACAGCACACTAATGTTATCATAGTAAAATGTAAAGTTGAATCAGATCCAGAGGCGTGTGGTGTGGTGTTGTACCTGAATAAGGCATGTTCTTGAGTTCAGAACAAGCTCTGACAATCAGGAAAATCAGGTAGAGGATGTAGAGGGCAACTACAATAAGGAAGAAGACCTTCATACCCTGGAGAAATAACATAGGACGTTATGGTATAGTAACTATAACAGTTCTATTCTCTATCCTTTCCCTTTTCTCCATCTTTGACTCCAGCTTCATAAAAATGATTCGACACATTGCTTAGAGTGCCATTATAGGTAACAGTCTCACCTGAAAGTTCACTATATCCACTTTATATTGATAGGTGGGATCCTGGAGTTCATTGACCCTGCAAATTCAGAAAAGAAGAGTGGATCTTTGCAGTCCTGTTGCAGTTCACAGTTTGAATCAGGCTAGTGGCAGCCAGTGAAGTTAGACTTACGTTTGCCAAATGCCCAGTGTAACCGCTGAGAGCCACAGAAGACCTACAATGATCATCTTAGGCAGGTAGAACGTCAGGCATTTCCTCTCACCCTGTGGAAACAGGATAAAACATATGAAAAATGATTCATAACTAGCTAAATAAGGGGAAAATCTTTAAGTATGGGAATAATACTGTACCCACCTGAACCCTGATGCCATGGTAGACACAGAGCCAGAAGAGCAGCAGAGAACACAGGAACAGAGCCTGAAAGAAAGCATCCAACATCCCTGGAAACCAGCTGTTCACCAGGAATGAGAGCGGGAAGAATGGATCTGAATAGCAAAAGCAACAAAACACAATAAGCAACACACCTGACCATAAAGTTGTACAGGACACATGTTACACTTGCACAGACAGATTAAACCCACTATTCTTTCTCTGTCAAATTAAAAGCCACTGTACTTCTGTAATAGTTAAAAAGGAAAGAACATGGAATGATAATTAAATTAAAAGGTGAAATGTAGCTTTGAGAGGGAGAATATTGAAACTCACCATTATAGAGTAGCAGCAACGGGAGTAGAATAGACATCCACTTTTGCTCTATGCCCCAGTCCCTCATAGAAAATTTCCTCAGGGAATGAGCAAACATACACTGTAACACACAGAAAGAAATCATTAGTCATCCTGCATTCTGAAAAGAAATGTAATGAGGGTAATGAGAAATTCATTTAGATGTAGAAGACCTAAAGTAACCGGTATGAGTGCTCTTACCGTCACCATGAAGGTCAGCACCACAAAGACGAACCGGAACCAGATTTCCACTTGCGAGAAAGTAGGATTGTACGTTTTCCACTAAGGAGGAATAAAAAAAATTAAACGGAAACAAAAACAGTAAAAGAGTTGGTGAGTGACCTGTTAGCTCGAGCAATAAAAATAAAATTAAATGCAACAAAGTATTACAGAGTTTGTTTAATGAGTTGGAAGAAAAATCCAGTGTTTGTCACTTACCACAAACTTGACCTTAATTTCATACGTGATATTTTCAAGGCCCTTGAAGCTGACCATAACCTGATACTGGGTGTAGTTCAGATAGCCCAGATGGAGCACAATGATCTCATCACATTTCTGTAAGGAAACAAAAAAAAAGGATGCATCACTGCCAATTCAGCAAAGAATACAACTGCACAGTAGATCAATGAATTTGAAATGGAAAGGACTGCATGCATTTCATAGACTCACACTGCTGTGCTGGTTGCTGCTGCCTGCCTAAATGATTAATGACAACCCAGTGTGCTGTAACAGAGAAAGCAATGGTTGGGTCTGATTGACACTTACTGTACCGCAGTGAAGTGTTCGTGATTTCTGGTGCATGTTGTTGATGTACATCACGCTGGCGTCCGGCATCACTCCCTTTAGCTCAACGTTAATCTCGAAAGGCTGCTGGAAGTCTCCCACTGTCACAGACAGCAGTGAGAACATGTTATTAACCAGCCAGGTATGTTTACAACATATAAAAGATAAATTGCTGTAATCTGTAGCGCAGTGTGTCGTCTTACTGTTACTGTTTTCAGCCTGCATCACACAGGTGAGCCATAGCTGCTGGTTGTAAGTGGTGAGGGGAGGAGAAACTAGATTGAAAGGCCCAGTCTGAAAAAATACAATGAATGACATCAATATGTTATTATGAATGATAATTATTATAAGTGCCAATAATTAAAACACAGAGGACTTCTGCAATCTGTCTGTACATCACACAAAATATATTGCTCAAACCCAAATACCTTGTCTTAACACAGGGATGTTCCTTAAATTAGAATTGCACCAATTAGTCAGTAAATTGATTAGTCGATGAATAAAAAATTAATAAGCATCTATATGGATATTTTGAGTAATTTTTTTTTTAAAGAAATGCCAAAATTCTAAAAACAACCCATTTTAAAATTTTACTTTAATCAAATACATCAAGAAAAAAATATAATATATATATAATTATTAATTGCAGCCCCACATTGAAATCTTTGACATGGAAAAGTATACACTTTCTATGTACTACAATATGAAATTCTTCCAGAGTCACATTTTTAGACCACTCAGACATGCAATGAAGTCATGTATAACCAGAATCGTAGTATTTCTTTTCAGCACATTCTCAAAATGTTTACATGTGTCCCATCATTCAAATGCCCAGCAGCCAAAAACTACAAAAAGACTAACAATATACATGCTTCTGCCTTAGAAACGTCTTACCTTCAATGAGGCATTTTTTACTAGTAACTGATCACCACTGTGCTCTTGCTCAGCAATAATCCTAGGACCTACAGATATGAAGAAAACACAAACACATTTTACTTAATGTGATGCCGAAGAAAAAAGTGAAACCCTCCTTGACTTTTAAACTAAAAAGTAAATATTAAATAAATAATAAATGTCAGCAAATTTCACCTACATAATTATGGTTGCTTTCTTTGTTTTTCTGTAACGGTAGCTATATACTGAAATCACTAAAACGTTAAAAAGGGGATCCTCAAATTGTGGTGAAACTAGGAGATGTAAAGGAATTGTAGCAAAGAGCATGTATGCCCAGAGAGGAAAATGTGGATGCTAAATTGCAATGTTGAATTTGAATTAATCTGATTTAAGGCTTATGATAAACAATACAATAATACAAGAGAGCTGGGGGGCATGGATGCTTCCATGCTTCTGCTTCCAAATATGTGTATGATAGAAGAAGTCTAAGAACCACTAGACTATCCAGGGAAGAGCAGAGTAGGGGTGAAAGGGGATTCATGTTTTTCAAGTACTTTGTTAGCAAAACTTGATTACAGTTGGTGATGATTACGCAAAATGACTCACCCACTGACTGTATGTCAAAACCAGAAGTCTGTGTCAAAATGAGTTCAGACCAACACCCAGCTTTGGTGTGTTGGTGCTGCAGTAATGTTTATCGGTCATACCTGCAATCCCAATGAAGACAGTGAGGCCGAAGCAGATCAGGAACACCACGAAGACCAAGACAAAATGTCTTTTAGACAGGGTGTAAAGCCGCATAGGGGCTAGTCTGTTACAAGAAGACAAACATTAGTGTTAACACACACTCGGCAAACACCAGAGCTACGAGAAGACACCAGGAGAAACAACACTCGGTAGGTAATATTTCTTTTGTGGTTAATGTTGTTAGCCTCCAGCCGGTGGTACAGGCGCAGATATGTCAACACTGCTAGTTTCCATGCTACTTTTACTAGCAGTAACAGATGGCAGGACAGAGCAGCACAGTGGCTTTAACGCGTATCCTCACACGTTTACGCAGCAGTGACACATCTCGAGTGTATCCGCTGAACAAATCATACACTCACCGCTCCATTTCAGTCGGTGTGAAGTCTCAGGGGAACGAGAAAAAGCGTTAAAATTTCTCAGTGAATCTACATCCGTGAATCCACATCAGCTGACATCTTTTAGTCTGCGACAACTGGAATGCAACGTCATCAAATGGGCGGGACCGGGGACACGTGGTGCCAACGGGGAGAAAGGGGAACGTGATAAGAGGACTTATCTGAGTGAGTAGGGAACAAGGACACACACTCCGTCCTGCCTTCTCCTCCTTGTTTAGTCTATGAAACTGGGATTTACGATTCCATGTCCTACATTCGGTCAATATATTTTAACTACTATTACAGAATGCATGTGTGAGCTTATAATTTGTCAATGTATTGTCTACCTAGTTGTGTATTTAAATGCATATTGAAATGCATATTTAAATGCATCTAAATATACACTGATCGTTGTTTAAATAAATTATTATCTGAATGTATGTTTGAATCACTTCAGTCTATAAATGTATGTTCAAATCACTGAAATTTTGTATCTCTGCTATAAATATTTCTTTTTGTTATATATTTTATTTTCTGTACTCAGGTCTCACTTGTAAATGAGATCTCGATCTCACTGTGACTGCCTGATTAAATAAAATACATATATATGTGTGTGTGTGTGTGTGTGTGTGTGTGTGTGTGTGTGTGTGTGTGTGTCTTAATATATTTAGTCAACAGGCATGGGGTTCTAAGTCTTGAAGGCATGGGCGGATAATGAGACAACAGGTCCAAGGGCAGAGACCATAAGGCTGTATATAAAGATGCATATAAACATAGTCTATATAAAGTCATACAAAATGTCCCTTACACAGATGAACATGGTATCAAAGAGATGATTAACTACGAGGCGGCTGTGTAACTCTGTGATCATTCTGTGTCTGTGTGTGTTCATTTGTGTCTCTTTGGGGTATCTGTGTTTTGCGTGTTTGTGGTTATTTGTCTCTCTTTTGTCTCCGTTGGTTGTTGTTTTTCGTCTCATTTTGGTTGTCTTGCGGCTGTCTGTGGCTGTTTTACGTCTCTCTGTCGTTTTGTGTTTCTTTCTATGAGATTTTGCAGGTGCCCCCCTAACCCCAAGCCTGTGTCTGGTCGGCTAGTGCAGTAATCCCTCCATGACCGATGGTAACGTCCATTTGACGGCTGAACGTCCTTTGTATGAAAATAAATTTCGCGCATGCGTAGCACGACTACATCGCGTATCAACGTCTACTTTTAATTTTTAATGAGCTATCCATGAGATATTATTTCATTTCTTACAGTGTAAAGGACAAAATCTATATTTCAAACCAGGAATGCGGTGTTCAACCACCATCACATGCACGTAAATGCCCATCCACAAGACAACACTTGTTGCCTTATAGGCTATAAGGCCTCTGCCTCGTTTTAAATTGTGATATTTTCTAATAAAATGGTGCTACACATTAAGATATGTGAATATATATATATATATATATATATATGACTTTCTTGTTTTTTCCTCTTTCCACTTATATTTTCTGGCTCTGTTGATCGAAGACAGCGCTCATCTTCAGTTAAGTCAATGATGCAAAGCAACACAACTATAAAACAATAAACAAGTATGATTCCTCAGAAAGCTCAGTGATGAATACCTTTGTTTGCATCTGCCATCATAACACAACGAGATCACATTAAGCTGTGAAATGTTCCATTATATCACAGCATGCAATACCAATAGCCTGGATACGTAATGCAGCAGAATGATGGATTTGCCTCTGTCTCGGGGAGAAAACAGCAGACCCACCTGTAAAAGCGATCATCTCGGTAAGGTGTCAGGTCCTCCTTCAGCTCGTTGTAGGCCTCCTGTATCTTCCTACAGAAGTATTTCAGCTCGCCGTACAGAGGGTTTTCTAAGCCGGACGTGTAGTCGGTGTCCATTATTATCACACCGAGCCGTCTGGCGGCTGAAAATGGCGATGAGAAAACAATCCGCGGCCTTTACAGAACAGCACAGCGGTGTGTGTCTGTATTGTCACGTCGTTTAATTGAAAGTGCAGCCGAAGCTGTTTTGTTTGTGTCTGTTCAAAGAAAGAAAAAAAAAAGCTGTAAAACGAAAAAAAAGAAAAAAATGGGGTGGAAGCACACCGGCGGGGGTCACGTGATCATTGTTCAGCACCACGGATAGAGGCAGACAGCGGAGACACCACAGTGATGTTGAGGACACATCAGCACGTATAGATACAGTATATGGATGCAACACCCCAGCAGAGTCTACTTTTACATGGCCTCTCAGTTTCCTAAATTTGCAACACACGTCTTTTTCTGAACTAATGTGAGTTACAATAAGTCAAAATTGTTAAACACAAGAGAATTCTCATAACCATAACCTAGATATACTATAACTCACCACCTCACACTAATGACATACACTAAGTCATATCATTGATAAACCTTATATGTATGACTTGTTATCTCAGTATAAATGTGTTAATTATGAGTAAAAAAATACTAATACTAATGTTTTATCCTCAAATTTTAGAAAAGTTTTCTCAGCTAAGATTTTGATCATGTCATAGCAGGAAGGTCTGTTATTAATAGTGTTGATTAATGATGGCATTATATTTTGGTGTCAGTTCCAGGGCCCTGGTATTGTGCATGTCGGCTCATTGTCATGACTTGCGGAGACACTTAAATGGAAAAGAGATATTGTTAAAAGTATTAGTTCCACGTGTGCTTTTCTTTCTATGACAATTCAAATTGTTTGCCGTTTGAGACTATGGAGCCACTGAGTAAACTCTAGCCAATAGCTGGTGATGTGTGAACATTGCCATCTCTGAATTCAACAATACTGGATATATTTAAGAGACAAAAGGTTTTTTTTTCTGAAACAATGACCTTTTATTCAAAAGATGCGTGACATATACAATTATAAAATAATTTACATGGCATGCCTTACTATCCATTCACTATAAACGTTCAGTCACCAAATCAGACTCAGATTTTTTTCAAGTGTTTTTGTCATTTAAGTCTACATCTACAAATACAAAGCACATATCTTTTCTAAAGAAAAGCCAAATCCTACAATATCTACAACAGGTCATCTCATAAAATCAGTTTAATGTGAATCCTTAACCTAAGTCCATAGGCAATTCCGAACATGAACTCAGTGGCTTACACTTGTGAACTTATGTGAATGATGTGTGTATGTGTAAGAAGCCATGACCCCACACACGTTTGAAGATAATAGATTTAACACTGATGGGATTGGTAGACTGCACAGTTGAATACAGACACACCTCGACTTGACAGTTACACTCTACACAACTAGTCTATCAGCTACACTAAACTGGGCACTGACTCATTCACATCTTTTCCATCCAATGCAAACTTCACAAAACACATAATTTGCCCCTTCCCGAGCCCACCCCACCCCGCCCCGCCCCGCATTCCAATCTCACAATTTGGGCTACACTTGTAACAAACTTTTATCAACACAAAGAAATGTTCTGAAAACTCCACAATATACAGTATGTATAGATACTATATCTCCTTTAGGAAATAATCTCATAAATAAAATATACAGACCAGCAACTGAGATGCTGAACTAAAGGAACGGTATCAAACTGTGGTCAAAAGTGATGACAAAAAAAATTTTCTTCAAGAAAGTATTGCACAACTAACACAAAAGGTGGATATTTTCTTTATGCCATGCTCATGTTCTTTTCATTTTTTAGGATCAGTAGAGACTTTTTTTTTTTCAATCCTTGTCCTTACAACCCTCCTCAGACAAACATGCATTTCGTTTTGATTTTGACAAATCACAATAACCTATATAATAATCTCATAAATTCAGAGACCAAAGCAGAGCTGGTCCAAAGTGATAGCTTTTTTAAATACCAAGTATTAAGTTACACCTCCCTCTAAACCCATTTTTTCCAACTTTCCAATTTTAGCAAATGCATATTTTGGCACAAAAGTTTGTGGTAACCCTAATTACACGAACCTTTATGTTGCTAAGCCTAAATATAACTGCCCTTTTTAGTGATTTTGGCTACCATCTTATACGAATAAAACCCACTGCAGATATTTGCAATGTGCCTACTCTTGCCCACACTCCTATCAGCTGGCCCTGCTCTGTGTCCTTAGTTTAACACGAACACAAGCTTCACTGGCTGAAAGAAAGAAAAAATAAACCAGCTTTTCAGTGATTTCAGTGTCAGCTTACTAAATGAACAGATTTCAATAGCTTCATCCTTCATTGGAGTTCTGACTTCAAAGATTCAGTGACAATGATTTCAGCTTAACTGTTAACTTTTTTGTGGTTGTAGCTGTTGAGTTAAACAGTACTACAGCTTTGCTCCACACCTGAAATTACACTTTAAACACAGTGGAAACAGGTGGAAACAGACATCTGTCAAAGTCACCCTAGTCTCTTTATAACATTTACATGACTGATATGTATTTACATGACTTCTGAAGAGTATGAAATGGCATAGGTGAAATATACAAAAATATTTCCTGTACCTTGATAACATGTTTAGTGTGGTCTGTGAGAGCAGGGACACCCCCCCCCCTCCCCTATGAACTCACTTCACAGAAGTGACAACAGGTGACAAATCACTTCATGCCACAGGTTAACTTGTTCAATCTAGGCCTTGGCGACTTCTTTTACACCCATGTCACCATATGTAGATATTTCCCTAAGTACAGGATATGTCAGTCAAAGCTGTTCTGTACACCGCTCCCACCTCAATATTCCACAGCATTATTCAAATTCAGTCACTAATCTCCCAAATAAAGCAGGTAAGTTGAAATCTATGTTGACAGGGTATGAAGATTGTATATCACAATGATAATAATGTCAAAATTCATATCTGAACAGATAAACAACAAAATGTACATATAAATTAATCCATGTAGCAGAGGAACATTTCTTCTTCCTTCAAAGTCCCAGGAAACCATGTGGAAAAGACTGCAGTTCACCTCAGATATATTTACTCCTTGACCTTCCCAACAGTGACACACCTTTCACAACAGTGAAAAGTGTGAACTCTTAGTCGTGCTCCTAAAGGATGCATATATCTAAGCCTCAATTCCAGCCAAGATAGACTGAGCAAAAGGAATGGCAGAGAGAAAAAACAAAAAGTCCCCCCTACCCTCCACCATGTTTAGTCATTTAATAACATTCTAAAAGCAAAAGCAGTATCATAAAGTGGTAACTGTTTCACTGAAGTTTTGTACAGCAATGGATTTCAGTGCCCAGTAGTACCTGTGCGCTCTGGAGAAAAAACATCTTTGATCTCCAGAGTGTGGTTTTCAAGTATTACTGCTGCCTCTTTTGAAAACTGCACCTTGACAATTCCTCTCTCAGTTAACCGATAGGTTATCATGTCTATAAGCTTCTTCTAGCAAAAGCAGCATTTATTTGCATGACAATTACCAAAGCTCAGCTCTTTGGCCTTACATGCTTTGCAAGGTGCCACTGACTTCCAAACAGAGCAAATCTTAGGGCATCCTTGGCAAATGCAGCCAATGCTTATTGCACCATTTCTAGTGGCAGCATTGTGTAGTGCAGCATGATTGTATCTCTTTCTGTGACTAGGGCTGATTTTACTCTTCTCTCCAAAATCAAAGTTTATTAATCTCAAATGAAACAACTGTGCCCCTTCAACAGATTGCATTTAAATCCCAGATATAACTCAGGGTAAGTAGGGATGGGACATGTCATTTGAGGCGTTGAGTGACATTGGCTAAAGCCACTGCAAAGGCCTGAACAGCGGAGAAGGGATACTGGAAGTCCAGGATGTAGGCGTTGCCATCAATCCTGCCAAACTGCATCACCTGTGTAAAAATACAAACAAAAAAGTTAGTACAGATTATAGACAAAGAAGATAATATTGTTACTCACTGAGTGATATTTCTTGAACTGGAGCTCTCTTACCTGTCTGCCCTCTAGTTCAATTTGAAAGTTCTTGGCAGATTCCTGTGTGACGCGCCCACCAAAGTCCAGCTGGTAGACCTGCGTGGCTTCATTCCACAGTGGCTGCTTGTTGGCCATGACATAGACAAACCCCTGGCTGCCCAGCCCCCTGTCCTCCTTCTCATTGGCCTTTCGACATTTGATCTCATCCAGTTCACTGGCAGCCCTCAGGTTCCTCTTACTTTTCCAGCCCTTCTTACCACTCTGGCACTGATTGAGAAGCTCATCCCCACTGATGAACAGCTCTGGCTCACTTTCTGAACTGTCTTGGAACTCACTATTGGCAGTGGTCTTACTCAGCTTCTTAGCCTTCAACTGCTGCTCTTTCTGTCCCTTCAGCTTCTTCTTGTCCCTTCCTCCCAGCCGTGGACTAGAGATGAGTGAGTTGAAATCACCTAGAGCTCTGCCCTCCTTTTTCGACTTGCTCCCTTCAGCCAGGGGTGGCATATTAGCCTCGTCAGCCCGACCATCCACCCGCTTGCGGTTCTTCTTGCTGAACTTCTCAGACCGCTGTGGCACAGGGCTCTCAGTCAAGGAGAGCACCTCCTGGAAACCTTCTCCAGCCTCTGCCATGGCCTCTTGTAATCCTCCATGGCTCTGCAGTTCTGCTGGTGGTGGCGGAGGGGGTGGCGGAGGAGGAGGAGGGGGAGGAGAGAGGACATTTTTGTCTACTGTCATGTGGGATGCTTTGGGTGGAAGTGGCACTGCAGGACTGGGCATAGGGGGGCAAGAGTTATAGGTACCCCAAGGTGTATGCAGGGCAATGGGAGGAATGGGAAGCCCTGAACAAGTGCTTCCTCCTGGATACATAGGTGGGAGGGGGCAGCAGGCCAGGTTTGCCAGGTTTGCAGGGTAACCTGGCGGTAAGACAAGGGTTGCATCCTGCTGTGAGAAGGGTACTGGTGCCACCACCTCCTTTGGGGAGGAGCAAGGGCGTGGCGACCCTGGGATGGGCTGGAGCTGGGCTCCAGAATAGGCAGTTGCTGGAGGGTACTGGAGAGAGATTTGGTAGCCTGCAGCTGCTGCTGCAGCTTGAAATGATGCAGCACTGGGGCTGGTGGGGGACTTTGGAGAAAGAACAAAAGGCAGCCTGGAAACATCCAGGTGCTGGGCTGGGCTAAGAATAAGTGGAGGTGGTTTGTGGGGTCCGGGGGGGCCAGTTGGGTTCAATGTTGCTGTCCGTTCCTGAGGAACCCACACCTCCTCCGTCGCAGCTGGGTCCCACTGATAAGGAGGTGGGCGTTTGACAACCAGGCCTGATGCATCATTTCCTCCTAGTGCCAGATGCCTCAGTGTCTGATTCAGTGTTTCATCCTCAGTAAATGCTGAATTAACATAATCAGCCCTGTCTCTGTTACTTCCTCCTCCTGCTGCAGTCCCAGATCCTTCAAGAGAGCTCAGCAGGTTGTAAGAAGACTGGGAGGCCAGAGGAGTAGTGCTGTTGGAGTGGACGATAACTGTGCTGTGTGGTGCCCCATTCCTGGGAGGGAAATCTTGTCTGATAATAGTTCCTCCTGCTATTCCATTAGCACTCCCTGGGGCAGTACTTCCAACACTGGATCCACTGCTACACTGACTGCAGGTGTATAAGGCTGTTGGCACCCTCTGCTGGAATGAGGCTGCTAGTGCGCTATTTTTGGCCTTAGGAGGCAGTGGTCTAGGCGGTTCCAGCATCTGGGAAACTTTGAGAGCGGCCTCTCGGCTGTTTCTCCTGAGAGTGGCATGGATCAGACTGCTGTCAAGCCTCTGTCCAGGGTTCCTGCTAACAGCACTGTTCTGGTTGGCTGTGTCAGGGTATGGGGGTGGGTCTCCACTGGGTATGGAATAGCGAGGTGCTGTGAGTCTATTGAGAGTGGCAGATGTATAGGGCAGCTGGATCTTCTTGTCAGATGATGAGGAGGATGATGAAGAGGTGACCCTGAGAGTGGCAGAGCTGCCAGGTCCCTGGAGTGTATACACATTCTGATTGCAGACAAGGCGCGTTCGCGGACGACATACTTCCTCCACATTCCCACTGCTGTCAAATGTTGTTATCCTTTCATATCCCAGTGGTGTGGGGTATTGCGCTTGTTGCTGACCTGAAGGATAAAGTGGAAACTCTCCCTTCTTCAAACAAAGCTCACCAGGAGGAGTCCCACTGGTTCCCCCTCCTGTTCCAGATGCAGCACTGGAGGCTGCAGCAGACGCCGATGCTGAGGCTGCAGCGGCTGCTGCAGCGGCCACAGCAGCAGCCACCGTCCCGGGGTAGGGGGGCGGGGGGTTCATCTTGCTGAGCTCTAGAGGGGCACTGAACACCACTGTATCACCCTCAGCCAGCTGTGGGGTTGACCGAGTCGTTTTGATTTTCAGTAGGTGCTCATGTTCACCCCCCACTGCTCTCTCAACCACTAAATCAGGTGGATGAGGGATCTGGATCTGCAGCGCCCCCGGTTGTAGCTGGTGCACAGCTGCAGCTGAAGGCTGTCCTGATGACATGGAGGGAACAGGGATTTGAATCTGAAGCTGCTGCTGAAGTTGATGGTGATGCTGCTGTTGTTGTATCTGATGCTGCTGCTGTGATTGCTGTTGGTGATGCATTTGTTGTTGTTGTTGTTGTAGTTGCTGCTGAATTTGTTGATGCTGTTGTTGTAGTTGTTGCTGTTGCTGTATGTGCTGTTGGAGCTGCTGTTGATGCTGTTGCTGCTGCTGCATGTGTTGAAGCTGCTGCTGAATGTGCTGTTGCTGAAGCTGCTGCTGTTGTAAGTGTTGGTGCTGGAGCATCTGCTGCTGCTGCTGCTGCTGTTGGAGTTGCTGTTGCTGCTGAAGCTGTTGTTGGTGGTGCTGAATTTGTGGTGGGTGGTGCTGTAGTTGTTGGTGCTGCTGCAGTTGTTGGTGCTGCTGCTGCAGTTGTTGGTGCTGCTGCTGTAGTTGTTGGTGCTGCTGCTGCAGTTGTTGGTGCTGCTGCTGTAGTTGTTGGTGCTGCTGCTGCAGTTGTTGGTGCTGCTGCTGTAGTTGTTGGTGCTGCTGCTGCAGTTGTTGGTGCTGCTGCTGTTGATGGTGATTTGGTTGTTGTGATGGATGATGAGAAGGTGGAGGTCCCACCATTAGGCGACCCATTTCCAGTCCCCCAAAGATGACCTGACCAGGACTAGAATACCTGGTGGGAACTGTGTACTGGGCTGTCAGGATGGTGTCCTGACTTTGGTCTGACCCACCGGCAGCTGCTCCAGCAGGGGTTGTGCTGGGATTTGTTAAGACGTCCAGCTGAACATTTTGATTGGCTAGGAGTGACTGGACCAGACCAATGCTTTGAGCTGGGGACATAGCCTGGGCAGGACTATGGATGGGGGCAATAGGGATGTTGACAGTGCAGGGAGGGTTGTCATCGGCACCACCAGCAGGGCCTGTAACAGGCAGGTCATCTTCATCTTCACTGAAGACGTTGGGGCTGAAGACAGGCAGATTTATGTAGTCCATGGAGATCTTACGCACCTCTGGCAGGTAGATGGTCATCTGTCTGGGCTGCAGATGGAGGAGGCTTGTCTTATAGATGACTGAGGAGAGAGGGACAGGTTAAAATGAACAAATGAAAAATAAAGGCAAATTCTATTAATTTATTTATTAACTTTAAAATGGCAAAGAGAAAGATGTGGATTGGTTACCTGCACCTAGATTGGTAGGCAAGAATGTGGCCAACCCCACTATCTTGAACTTTGTTCCCCAAATATTGGATGTGACCTGAGCAAGGTAATTTTGCTGCAAGACAGGAACAAATGGATTCTTATTATTTTCTGTGAACACATACAACAATCTACAAAAGTACATTTATGTGTGAGCTTATCAATAAACAACATTGCCCCCACCCCTGGACAAACAGCTACCTGACTAATCCATAGGTGACAGCACTGTAGCAAAAAGGGCATGGACCCCCTCACAGGTTTCCCAGCCAGCCAACAATGCCATGTGTTGATGCACTTAGTGGGCAATTAATTAGATTTTTACCTGAGTGATGTCATCTAGAGGAAATTCCCTCCGTGTTAGACTAGGTGAACCAATAGAGGGCTTCCGTATGGGTAACCGTGGTGACCTGGAGATCTCCTGTGTAGCACGGGACAATTTGGGCGATTTTCTGGGATCAATGTTGATCCTGTTGGTAAAGGGACAAACTAAGTCTCTACAGAGAAGGTAGCAAATGAAAAAGAAAGTTTAGGCATGCAGTGAAACAAAAAACAAACGACGAACATTCCATTTAAATGCATCACTGATGCAAAGGGTTAATATAGGAAGGTTAAGATTTCAATAACAGCTGGGATGCCACACAATTTCTAAAATTCCTACCTGAGATACTATGCAAAATTACGTCTGTGAATGTTCTCATTCGTCCAGGTCATAGTTATCTCTCTCTCAAATTAAATCGAAGGCAACTGGACTTGTATTTGTCTGTGGAAGACGTTTCGCCTCTTATCCAAGCGGCTTCATCAGTTCATCATGTATTGGTCTCTCTAGTCCGCACTAGTCTGACCAAGAAAATGGAGTAGGACCCAGGTATTTAACCACTTGTGCCACAAGAGGCTGAACTGATGAAGCCGCTTGGATAAGAGGCGAAACGTCTTCCACAGACAAATACAAGTCCAGTTGCCTTCGATTTAATTTGAGAGAGAGATATGCAAAATTACACTTATTTTGGTACAATTTGTATTGGGCAGAAATGTAAATTAAAAAGGGCAAAATTGTAATTTAACATTCATTTAAAGGTTAATTCTTATGTTTTCATGTTGTTGTTGTAGGATGATATAACAGCTATGTCAAAAATCTGAATTCATCATTTGGCTCGCTCCTTTCACAGAAACATGTAAAACTAACCTTGAATAACTCCAAGTCCAAAAAATCTCAGTTTGCATACAAATTGTTTCTCAATTCACACTGAATAACTGTGTAACATGTCAACAAAAAAAACTCCCTTGACCCCACTTATTTAATACTGTGGAAACTTGCAGGCAGAGTGTTTCACCTGGACTGTTGACTGCTACTGGGTCAAAAACACACAAAAACAGTAAATATTAGTTATAGATGACATGCTGCAGTGCACACAGATCAACCGTCTGGTTACCTGGGCAGTTTGGGGGATTTGCTGCCCCTGGATATCTTTGGAGATTTCTTGCCAATCCAGTCATCACTCAGCTCAATGTCACTGGAGTCTGAGCAGTTACAGCTGTCGATCATGGCAGATATCAGACTATTGCCGTATATCTCATCTGAGGAGAAAAAATGGGACGATGGACGGAAAGAATGGAGTTACTTTTGAGCAAATGGGTTATCAGTGTGAAGTCCTCAAGTTTCCAACTTCTACCCCTGCGATCAACACTGCTAAATTGTGAGTGACATTGCTGTTTCAAAGAGTCTAAATCAGTAAGGAAAGATTGGAATAAATAAATACAAAATAGCAGTCTTTTGGCAATTATTACAATAAAGCTGGCAATGTTTCAGTAGTTTAGATTTTTTCTCTGTTCCCTCATTCATATGGAGTTTGTGAACCACTGCTGCTCTAGTTTAGGTCAGGCTAATTTATTTGATGGATATTAAAGTCTGAATGGGCTGGAACCATTTCATGGCTGGCTTCATTTATCACTGTGTGTGGGTGGGTGGGTGGGGGGGCAGCGGCATGATTTATGAGGAACCCAGGGGCCATCAGAGCCCCCATTAAGCAGCTTTTAATTAACATGGGCCCAATCTGCCCTATGTGACTAAAACATACTAACTCACTGAACGCCAACTCAAGAAACTCAAATAACTGGAAAAGTACTGGAGCAGGCAAACATGTCTGAGAGGAATACATTTGGCAATTCAAATTTTCAGGAATATGTAGACAAACTGCAAAAAATGTTTGTTGTTTGATCAATAGTAATAGTGCTTTGTTTTAATCCAAAGTAAATACATTTGACATGGGAGTCAGAGGTGAGTCAAATTATGATATACTTTACTGTTATGAGAGTTCAGCTGTTAAAATGGAAAGAATGACAAAAACAGGATTAAAAAACACTGGATATCAAGTAACTCCCACATTTTCCTCTTAACCATATTCCATAAATAGAGAACTCAGTTTTACTAGCTTATATTTATAAGCAACTATTGTATATACAAATGTTGTATTAATATTAAACATCTGACTTAAATGTCCTAGTGGTTGTGATTGAATTATAGTCCGTTATCAGCAAAAATGTCAATTAGGAAATTATTTTTTGGTTAGGTTATTACATTTTGTTAGGTTGCCAATATGAAGGGAGCTCAGTTCTACCTGTTTTCCCATCTGTCTTGGGGTCCATAATGACGAACTCCGGACGCAGTTTACTTATTCGTCTGCCCTTGAGGATAGGCACCAGACCTCCTAGGTACTCCAGGTACAGAGTGTAGCAGGGCCCCCCCACTTCAGGGTTATCCTCTGTACGTTTCATGGTACAGTGCAGACGCTCGTTCCCAGCTGTTGGGTAGCTCACAAAATCACGCATGTTGTTGGGATCTGGGATGGGGGGCTGGAAGAGAAAAACATGAGGTTGCAGAGTTGTTCAGAAACTTATTTTATTCAGTGTTAGTTAGTTAGTGTGTTAGTTTTCTCATACTACACTTCAGCTGCCATTTTACAAAGGATGCTCATCTTAGTCATATATCATCGTCTCAGAAAGTGACATCTATGACAGCACTGGTATGGTGCTGGAAGCTTTCCTGGAAGTTCTTCACATTTATTTTATGGTTTTAATGGCCCTAACACCCTCCTGCATTGTGTTACCTTGATGGTGGGGATGAAAGCGGCAGTGACGTAAGAAGAGAGGCGGGAAGGCATGGTGAGCTTGGCAACATCTTTTTCCTCCTTCACTGCCGTGGCGATGCCCTGCTGGCAGAGTAGCTGCAGGCTGGCAACCCGGTGCTCCACTCGGACAACGTAAAGCGCCGGGCCACATGCCAAGAACAGACGAGAGTCCCGGTGACCCCAGCACAGCGTGGTGATTGGGCGCTGCAGGATAATGGAGAAGATACATTAGAGGGTGCACCACATCCTTTCACAAGGTTAATGTCAAGCATGAAAGATTGGCAAATGTTGGGGGTTTTTGTTATAGCTGTGATCAAATTCTTTCTTGAACTTTGCATCTTCGCAGGGGCACATTTCTTAGAGTGAATTCTGAGAACAGCAGTCTTCAACAAGATTTTACAAAAACATGAGGGTATGTGCATGCTTATGGCAGACCACTGAGCAGACCTTGGTCACTGCCTATCCTCAAATAGACTAGTCTTTACTTTAATCTTCTTGGATGGTATGACACATAGTGCAACATACTGAATGTTGGATGTACAAACTGAAAGTTGGCTTTTACAAAGACAATTTCATATACTTGTCTGTGAGTGGAAATGTCATTCATTTGGCCAGACTGTACAGGTGCGTAATTCAGCAAATGCTACCTTTCCAACTTCAATCTATGTTTCAAGTGAGTCATCTCACTTTGTTACTTAATGTACTCTATTGTTTCACTGTTAACTTATCAACAATCTCATTAAAGTAATGCATTAAAATGTTTTTGTCCTAGGATGACAACCAATTAGCAGGATTTACCACAGCTAGTAACCATTTAAGTCTTTAGATACAGACAGAAAAAGAGTCTAATTATGATATACAAGTCTGAGGAGCCAGCTTGTAAGACATGTATTGAGTAAAACTTGTTACCACAAATAAGTAATCTGAGTGCTGTGCCTGAGAGTACTTGTTAACCATGTTTGGTTCTAAAGATGATCACCTGTGCTGGTGTGTCCAGTGTGTAGATGTGTTCACCCTGAACATTGTAAAATTTGACAATGGCATTCCTGGTGGGGGGAGGACAGGATGGGTCAGGGGAGAGGAGTGTCCTCTCCATCCCTGCCACTGCAAGGAGGTCCCCCTGTGAGCACCATTGGACCACCACATCTGCAGCACAGGACAAGGAAGAAAATAATGTTATGAACATTAACATATGAGGCAAATTTTGACAAAAGACAGAAAACACAACATTCCTTGAGACATAATTTGTAACTGGTATAAAAAAACAATGAAACAAAGAAAGAGGCTGCTGGAATGGAACACTCAGGTATACATTAATGATAAGGCGCCCACACACCTTTCAGACCGGTGCGAATGAGGGTGGGAGAGAGGTCATCGTAGTTGTTCATCAGGTTAATGTCACCAGAGGTGAAGCTGACTGTCAGCAGTGGCTTCTGGCTGTGCACTGAGAGGAGACAAAGGACAACACAAACATCTTAATAATAATAACAATAACAATAATGTGACAGTTTAAAGTACACTGGGATTAACTGCAAACTGTTCTTCCATGAACAAAACAATAACTTGTATGTTAATACATTTAAGTAAAGGTGGCACTGACAGTGGATGTCAATAAATGTCTATCAAGGGTGGACTAAAGTTAAAATTATACACACCGGTGCAATGAATAAAATGCAATAAATTATTCTACATGAGTGTTATCTGGGGATTTAACTTTATATAGCAAAACATAGAGAGTAAGTAGCATTTCAGCTTATTACATCCACAATCTAGCCTAACATAAATTAAGGGAAGAGCTGAAATGATCAGTTGATTAATCAATGAATCAATCAACTAAAAAAAGGAACTATTCTGATAGGTGATTCACCGTTTGTTTTTTTCAAGCAAAAATACCAAACACTGCCTAGTTCCAGCTTCTCAGCCGTGAAGATTTGCTGCTTGTGTCCGTCTTACTTGGTAGTAAACTGAATCTGGAGGTTTTTGAAGTGTTGGTTGGACAAAACAAGCATTTTGATGGCATCCCCTTGGGCTTTAGAAAACTTTTCCTGACATTTTATAGATGAAGTGAGTGATCATGAAAATGATTGGCAGATAAATTGACAGTGAAGAGAATTGTTAGTTGCAGCCATAAATGAGGTATCATACTGGTAACCTACAGAGGATCCGGTGATCAATATGCATTTCCAGAGTGGGCCATAAAAACAGACTGGATGCGAGGAAGACAGAATGTGTGCATGTGTGCGGTTATGTATGTGTGTGTATTTGTGAGGCTGTGTGTGTTTACTGTAGGTGTAGTTCAGGGCTGTTATGAGAGAGGCTAGGACAGATCCATATCCGAGACAACTGTATTTCATTTTCAGTGAGTTTCCATTGTTCGCTATTCATGAGAACACACAACTGCAATGAAATACACTCAGCACATCTCACTGCTGCAAACAAGCGGCATTCTCAGTCAAACTGCTATAAATAAGACATTTTCAGACAACAAACAATATGTTTTCATTAAAACAGCTTTGACTCCGTCCATTCACATAGTCCTGCAATAACCCAAATACTACCACAAATAAAACATCCACCTCTTCTTGACTTTCAGCCCAATAACAGTTACTACTTCCTTATAGAAATCAGTTTACATTGAGGGTGTTGCATTGAATCATATATATGATGTTGCTGTAAATGCAGAGTGTTGTGCTGTGCTTTGCAGTGATAATCGGTCATCATCATATATCATGACAGAGAGATCTGGCAGGCGGAGGAAGAGGCAGCCTGGTGTCTCAGTCAGGTTGTCCACTTGAGAGATAATTTCTATCAGGTCCAATCAATTACTATTGACTGGTTTAATTAGTGAGTTAGGGCATAATCAGTGTTCCAGCTAAGGCAAGCACTTTTCAGCTTTACCACTTGGCACACAAGTGGAAGGGAAGGATAAAAAAAATAAAAAAATAGCACAGCAGGATGAGGACAGACCCTCAAGAGCTCAGCCTCAGCAACTGGGACTAATGAAGGTGAAGACAAAAGGAGGTAAAAAACAAAACAAAACAGGAACCAATAAAAATTAGGTTGTCAAATGCGCTGGTGTACACGGTGAAAGCAGCAGGAGTGTGGGGAAAGGTAACCACATTCAATTCTTCCCTTGTGTGACTGCTCACGTCCCAGTGTACTAGATACGCACTGGACTGTATTTGAATTGGATAGCGAACTCACCAGATATACTCCCAGACTCACTTTTGACTGTTGTAAACTGCCACTATTGTGTTTATATGTGTAAGCTGACAGTACATGAAGACAAAAAAAGAAAAGCTGAAATGGCATGCATATATTGGATGATTAACAAAATATATGTGAACCATGACAATGTAAAAATAAGTTAGTTGGATGGGAATCTACAAGTGGGGAATAAGTGTTTACTCTGCAACTGTTCCAGCTATTTTTTTCCATTTTCTTTCCTCAAGTTGTAGACAGTGGTGTAAGGAGGGCTGCTGAGGCCAAAACAGGCCCCAATTCTGAAAATAGCTTGCAGTCAACTGTGGCATCAAGCTCAAGTACCAGGGCTATATCCTTGACACTGCAGTTAATCTTATTTTATGAGAGTCGTGGGGATTTCGTTAAAGACAGTGCAATTGAAAACACAGTCAGACGAGATTAACACATAATTTCAACAGAGGGGACTTTTTTGTTCCACTAATGTACAAGTGGCCAGTGATGAACACACACTTACACCGTGACAGCTGCTGCTGTTATGACAACAGCCTCTGCACCATAAAGAGCAAACAGGAGGTGCAGTGGCAACAACAGCCCAATGGCAGGAGAGCTCTCTTTTCACTGTGCTCCTCCTTCACCTCCTGCCCTCCATCTTTCACCACAGCCGCCCACCCACCTTCCATTTCACACTCCTTTGTTTCAATACATCTCTTCCCCTGTCTTCACAACTGGCAGAGAAGTTGAATTATCACCTCCTCAGGCTTCATCAAATGGCTTGCATTACTAAGTTTGCCTGTGAGATCAGTATCACAAATGACTTGTATTTCTAACTATAAGCTCCAATGAATACCTTTGCACTTCAGCTCAACAGTTAACACCAAACAAAATGAAACTGTGTTTTCCCAGGAAAAATGGCTGACAGAAAAAGCAACATATATAGCTCTGATTGCCAAAGTGTACACAGTGTGGTTGGCACAACTTACCACTATTTGGAGTGTACTACCCCATGTGCTACTACACAGGGCAAAGCAGGTACCCCAGGATAGACATTTAAATATGACAAAGACAGTCAAAATTACACAGTGTTAATGACTGGCTCTGTAGTTCAGAAGACACAGCTGAATTTGTTTGGTGATCAGATCCATTGCTTGGACTGAGCATGAGCAGTAAAAGGTAGAGGAAAAAGAGGGGAAACTCACAGATGGCCCCACATCTGCTTTCTTGTGCATAGAAGTACCTACTTAAGAAACAGCTGGACAACTCCACCCTAGCACTCTACTCCCTATAGGCACAGTGCCTTGCTCAGTAAACCTTTCACAGATTGCCCTCCAATTCTGCACCACATTATACTCTTACATAGACTTATATCCATTGCATTATGTCAGAACAGATACATTTCCAATTTAAACATTTTAAGAGACTGGTAAAATCTTTTTAGGCTCCTTAGTACAAGATTGCATATTGGGCTATGAGCTCTGTCTGTACTTCTGAGTACACAGCAGTACTGTGGCTGAACTTGAATGGTTGTGGTGTAGCTACTGATGGAGAACTGCAGTTGCTCCTAATGTGCAGCTTTTGCTGCGTGGCTGATGAAAACGCTTTTAGTGTAGCTGCTGTGTTAACAAGTCAGCCTGCAAAGTCTAAACTCCATACAATACTCCAGAAAAGGTTCTTACTTAACACAAAAGACAAACAAGAGATGAAATGACATCTAGCGCTTGTTTCTATGGAGGTTGAATGCACTTATTGTACGTTACATTGGACAAAAGTGTAAGTTAAATGATTTTAACATAACTTCAGACTGATTTTACTTTGGCTCATATTACTCATCAAGATTAGCCACCAAATGCAAACATTTTCGATGATAATTCGATAGTTTGATGCTGTAGATCTGGAAATATTTCGCACATTATTGTCGACAGATAAGTAGTTTGCAATGGAGAAATGATAGAAAAGATGAGTGAACTGTCTAGACTAAGAAGTGTGGCAGACAAAGGTTTTTTTTGTTGGTGTTCATTTTCAGTCGAGAGGTGAATAGGAATATGAAGGATAGACATGCAACCAAAGCTCCTGGCTGGAATTGAACTAGGCACGTTGCATTTATATTGTACGTGTCACAATCTCTAAGCGCCCAAAGGCCCACGGTAGAAACTGAAGGTTGAAGGTGAGGGGTTTGAGTAGGTGACCGTTAAGAGTCTACTATTCAAATCAAACCCTAAACAGCAAACCTTGAGGTGGGGAGTAGTCGTCAGAGTCTGTGTCGCTCTCACTGCTGTCCTCCACCAGGAAACTGGGGTAGTTCCAGGACATGCTGACAATGCCATCCGACTCATGCAGCAGTATGTGGGCCAGCATGCGCCCGTGGCAGTCCATCACTATCACCTGTCCGTCTGCAGTACCAAACAACACCTGGGACAGAAACATTGAAGAGTTATTAGGGAGAAGAAGAAAGAGATACCGAGATAAAATTAACTTGGACACAAAGACAGAATAACAAAGACAGAAACGGAGGCATGCTTAGAAATAGAAAAAGAGATGACAGATCTAAAGGAAGCCCAGATAAATACATATCACAAGGAAAACAACTTGGAGAAATAGACATAAATGGGATGAAGGTGATGAACAAAGACAGAGACAAATATACAGAATGAAAGCTTGATGACATCCAACCTGAACTGACAATGTAAGAGCACGAGAGCAAATACATAGCCTAACAAAACCACAACACATTCAAGACAGAGAATGCTTGCCGTCACTCTCAGCTGATCTCCCTCAGGGCCTGTCTCTGCTTTCTGAATGACAAGTCTACATACTAAAAGTGGCAAATGAAAATCTAAAATTTCTACATCTATTAGCATTGAAAGACTGGCATAGTGCACAGTGCAATTGGGGCTGTGGGGTGTGTGTGTGTATGTTACCTGCTGGTCATCTGGGGTCCAGATACCACAGGTAATCTGGCTTTCCAGGTTGATCTCGGAGGACCAGTGTCTCTGCCCGCTGACTGATCCCACCAGGACAAAGCCATCGCGATAGGAGATGAGAGCCTGGGTGCCATCATGGGACCAGGTGAAATCACTCACCTACAGGGGACAAGACATGTCAGTTAAGAATCAAATGGTGTTACTGACAGATTACTAGGTTAATCAATATTCTCAGGTTAATTGTGTTATTATGGTAATTCTGCCTTTGTATACACCTCTCTTATTATGTACAGTATCAGTAGCCTCTGATGTTCATTTTAACTGTAATTTTGTAATGAAGAAGTGACGCAATTACTTGATTTTGCAATAAGATGACTGACAGAAAAAGAATTGGCAACTATTTTGACAATTGATTAATTGTTTAAGTCATTTTTCTAGCAAAAATGCCAAACATTCTCTGATTTCAAATTTGTGGATTTGCTGCTTTTCTTTTGTCATAGGTCATAGTCAACTGAATATCTTGGTTTTTGGACCGTTGGTCAGATAAAAAAGGAATTTTAAGATGCCACCTTCAGCTCTGTAGAATAATTTTGGGAATGAATAAGAAACTGGTCTTTATTAATAATGTTCATGTGCCCCATCACTCTCACTATCAGGGCTCCAAAGATGAAGACATTCATTTCAGAACACTTTAAGAGAACGGCCTCTAGGAGCCACTAGCGAGACATTTACACTTGTCATTTTTTTACCTTGAAATTTATAGTTGTATTCCAGTATTAACAGTGCTGTCAGAAAACAGTCTCCTGCACACTGGTAATAGTGAAAGGATCTGCTGTAAGTAAAATGACTGCCTCTGCTATTGTCTGTATATATAAATACCCTTGTATGACATGAAAAAGGTAATCTCTAGGAGAAAAGAGCAGAGGTGCTATTTCATATGGCATAGGCCATATACTTAAAGTGTGTGGCAACTGTTTAGACTGTCATCTACTAACAAAATTGATCACAAAAGATAAGATGATGTCAGGATGTGTCAGACTGAGCTCAGCATATGACAGTGATTGATTGATGAACCTACGCATCATACAATTTCTTAGCAGTTATTTATTTAAATTAGCATGTGAAATGTTAGAGGCAAATGGATCAGATATTTGTGTAAATCACTCCCTTTTTTTAGTATTTGTTGTTGCTGCTATGAGTTTTGTTCCCATTACTCTTGTATAGTGTGCTTCTACTGACTATTTGTATTCATCCTATTGTAATTTAATGTATTTTTGTTATTCATGTATATGCTTTTCATATTTTTTCCCTGCAAAGTACATTACAATACGTCTAAGTAAATAAGCACTTTTAATTATTGATTGAGATCATGTCCCGTTTCTGCGTAATGTATCGTACCTGAGCTCCACGGTCATTGACCAGCTCCACGGACCAGCGGCCCTCGTACTGGATCCAAACAAAGATTCCTCCATCTGTATCACAGGTGGCCAGTTTCTGGAAAGGCTCATTCCACCGCACCAACACCACCTTACAGAGACACAAAGCAGAAGAGGGAAAAAATGATTTGGAGTTAATGTTTCTCTTCCTATCAGTGTCCCCTAGTGAAACAAGTATTTTCAGGCAGATAATGTAAATTGTATCCCAGATTGTGTTGTGTAAAGTATGGCAAAGAATTTAGCAGTGGCCTTCCTGTGACTCTATGCCCTCTTACCCACAGATAATTTAAGATAATCAACAACATAGTGCCCTTGATCAAGACACTGAACTCTTGCCTGTACACTCAGTGTGAATTGCTCTAAATGAGAATATCAGCTGAATGCCTAAAATGCAGGAAGCAAAATCCAAGTTCCCACATTTCAATGTGCTAAATTTAGCATTAAACCAGATGAAAATATATCACAAAGTGGGTTAACCTCATTTTGAAAAAGTCGCAAAGGAGCTGCTAATATCCTGGCTATTAAAGACAATGAGATTCAATTATTCTGTTTCCTGTCCTTCCATTTCCTTCTGTACCACACTTCTTCTTCAAACCTGGAAATTCCTGAGTGATCCTCCTGGTTTGTCATTTGATTCTAATGGGTACCTGAAGGTGTGTATGTTTCTATTTTTCATTTTATTGAAAGCATTTAGTTTGATCGAAAAAGAATTTTGGAGATATTAGAATTTAAGGTAAATGTCTAAATTTAAAAGAATAAAGCAACAGTAAGAGATGCAAAGAAAGGAATGAAGGAAAAACTGAAGGGAGCCTGTGTGCACTGATGCAGGAACGTCCCTACAGAAAATACTATATTGTGGCCAAAACTGTAAACTGTAGAACCACTAACAGCAGTGTTTCATAGATGCATGGGTTTCTATATTTGACCTGAGGTCAGTAGATAGAAAGATGGATCATCATTACACTGAGGGATGAGTTGCAGAGGAGGACAGTGTTGAACACTGGCAGAGAGCAATATAGATCAAACTGTTCATAACCTCTTTCTTTGTCAGTGTCACCCATCTTAAAAAGGCACCCATTACAAACTCCATTCAGCCCCCTCCTCTCTCTGTCTCTATCTGTCTGGTCTTCTGTAGCGTGACTCAGCCTATTCCCAGGGGAATAATCCTAAGCAGGGAGCAGCTCTGCTCTCGCTGAGTGAAGCACGTGGGCTGTACACGCTCGAACACACAACACAGGACAGGTTTTAGCGGGGCTTACACTCTCTGAGTTCAAGTCCAACAGATCAGTGGCTGAGAGTTAGATAAGCCAGCCAGTCTTGCTCTTTTTCCCCAAACAACATGACCCCCTGATCCCCCCATAAAACATTTTTTTATTTAAACATTTAAAAAAAAAAAAAAAAAAATGTTTTAAATATATATTTTTTTATTTTCCTCCAAAGTACACAATCATTCCTTCAGCTGTATTTTATACAACATCTTCTTACACCAATGCCACCTGATTGGTTACAGGCTGCATTAACAAATCCATTTCAGTTAAGAACTGTTTTTAAAATTAAAATAAAATCTTTGCAAAAATAATAAATAAGCACCAAACTTTAAGACAACAATGTTGCAAAACTGGATTAAAAACAAAACTTTGCTACCCAGTGTGAACTATTTCAGTGTCCTGCAGTGTTGGAGGCACCCTGCTTGCCTAGAATAAAAAGTGCCTCCACTAACGTCAGGAGAAATGATTTCCTCTTTAATAAAATATAACACTAGGCTGATTAAGCTTTAGGGACAAAGAGCAGTGGTGCTACATCATAGTCAAGGCCACGTATTTAATGAGTGAGGCCATTGTTTAAATTGAAATCTGTAACTACACTGATATCAAGTTCAGCTTAGCAGGTGACTAATCAATCACATCATAATTTCACTTCAGAGAAAATACTATGAGCAGCGTGTCACAGTGTTGCGAAGTTAGTTTGATAATAACCATGGTGAGAGAAATCCCAGGTAGTTTTTGTTCAGGTTGGTCTATCTTCTGAGATTATATACAGGGGAATATTTACTGCACTGTACTTAAGTAATTTTCCAGCAGAAGATGCTTCTATGCAATTACAGAAGCAACACTGAGGTAACTCCAGTAACCAGTGACATTTACTCTGCAGTTTCCCAACAATTCCCCATTTGTCACTGTCTTGCGACAGAGTTATCCTTACTGAATATAAAGAGATCTGTCTTGCACAAACATGTTTATATGAATACACCATATACAGGCCTGAAGTGTAATAAGTTCACAGTGGCATTCAGTGCTCTCCTGGCCCTGCTCCCTCAGCAATAAGGTGTCCTGTAAGCCAGACTTACTGTGTTTTCACTCCCACTCCCGGTAGTATAAATCCTAATGTTGCTCTGTAGGTGTGTCTCAGCTGGCAAGCCGCCGGGAAGCGGACACAATGAGACCCAAACTGGTGCAGGTCTGCAGCTAAGGTCTCTATGACATTGTGACAGAGTTGACCATATTCATGGACCACTAAAAGCACCCTGCCATCTATCATTCAGTCAACTGATGCAGAAGTGCTCGCTGGGCACAAAACTGATAGGCTTCAGCTATAGTATTGTTAAAGATAAAAAATTTCCATGCACAAGCATCTCAGTGGGGGAATACAAATCTGTGTCTTTACTCCTTCCGTGCACTGTCTGCAACCTCTGGTGAGCAAAATGGATTTTCCGGATGGTATTATACAACATAATTCAGCTCCAGCCAGTGTAGACATGAGGCTTTAGATTAGGTAGAGGCTTGACTCTGCATAATTCTAACATCATTCATACACTGCACACTGCTAACAAAGAAGGGCCAAAAAGGACCAAAAGAAAAACAACAAAGAAGACATTAGTATAGGGTTAACACATGCTCTGTCTTGCATGTGAGCACACTTATCTGCAGCCCCATAAAGGTGAGAATAATCTCTGTATTTATGTGTGTGTGTGTAAATTTAGCTCAGTGTGGAGATTAGTGTGAGCTAGTCAGGCATCCCACGAGGGGGACAGCTGAGCACCTCAGTATGACGCAGCGATCTGGGAGATCAGACGTCACATGGAGACAGACAGGATAAGAGTGAGAAGCCACAAGACAGCGAGGGGCCAAAGAGATCATGGGCAGAATAGGCATATGCACATATGCAAATACATAAAGATTATATTAATCATTATATTCTGCATGGTCAAAGACAAGTACTTAAGATTATTACTTACTCATATTGACTCAAAATACCTTAGATTGCAATATAAAAGAATTTTTAAAAAAGGAAAAGTTCTAGGAGGACTACACGTTTTCAGGCTGGGTTAAGCATTTGTCTCGTCTCCATTACATCCCAACCAACACCTATTAAAAGAGGAAGAGAGTACATGTTTCCGATCCCTTTAATTCTGCCCTTTGGCCAGCACATGGCCATTGACAACTTCTGCTTGGGAAGTTGGCAGTGTCTTCTCTCCTGCGGTGCCATGCTGTTGTCACTGCAGCTCTGGCCTCTTGCTGGGACTTAGAGACTGGGAGCTGAGCTGACCCCAGCAATTTAACTGAGGAGACTAAATCAAATCAGGGGACAGCTTTGGGTTGCAATGGAGTCAGCAGAAGTGAGAGGACAATGGGACGGTGCAGTATCACCGTGGCCCAGTCATGAACTCATGGGTCCATGGCAACACTGGCCCCTTGCATAGAAGACTTTTTTGCAAGGTTACTAATAAGCAGTGACTGATAGTATTGGAACTCACCGTTTCAAAAATATAACTGAAGATTGCTTTGCCACATTTTGACAAACCCATTTTTTGTTTGTTTTGTTTTTGCTGACATGCTATACATGCACACTACAGACCGACTGCGTGCAACCCGAGTTATTTTCATTAAGTAAACCAAGGGTTTGTATCCTAAATAAACTACAAAAGGTCATAGCTACACCTATAAAAAATGTCAGTTCAGTTTAGTCTTTATAGTATAAATTTGAATTGTAGCATGGCAATAACAGACACATCAAAACAGACATCCATCAGAGAAAAAAAACATAAATTACAGGAAGTAATATATAACAGCACGTATAAAAAAAAAAGGAAGAAAAATGTTGGTCCTATGCTACAAACTGTGAAGCTGCTGGGATTTCTTGACTTATGACTGAAGAATCATTGGAAAGTCAAGACCACCTGGCTGATAATAGAATAAGTTACACAGTGAGCCAGTGAGAAGTAGACACTCCCCTTTCCATCCACAACCCCCTTTACCTCCCATGATTCCGGGTCTGATGTAATATTAAATCAGACGCAAAACTCAATTAAAGAAAAGCGCTGTGCTGTGCTGATACAAAAGCAAGGAAGCCAGAATGGGCAAAGTGGGGCGGGAGTGATTTGCAGCATAACAGAAAGGGCAATGGGACAGGACCTACAGGGGAGGTAGAATCTGGGATGTTTACGAGTAGAGCAAGCATGTAGTAAAACCTTAATCAATAATAATATCTGATAACAGCTAATACATTGGTTAATACTGGATGCAGATCATTTGATTAAATTTTCTCTTTACAGTGCTAGTCTTCAACAGTTGTTGAGTATATGGCGGTCGGATTCAATGCCAATAAAATTAATCAAATAATAATTACATGTGAAAAGGATGGAAAATTTGTTTTTACGTGATCTATCGATGTTAATGTCTGTTAGGTCTTAGACTTCACTCTATGCCCCTGTACACTGCTCATATTGTGTTCATGCAAATACAACAGCATGCAGAGACTTACATTGACTTACAATACTACCATGAGGATGTTAGTGATACTGAATCAGCTCTTTGTACCAATTTTATAAAAAATATCTTTCCCCAGGCTGCCCCACAACTTGTAATGCAACAGGACATGAGGGAAAGAAATATGGCATGCATTAATAAATCTGTAGCATCCCAAGGTAATAACTTGACTACAGTTTGCAATGTTGATTTCCATTTCTTGGATATGTTTCTGGACTCTACTAATTGATTAAAATGTCACTGCATTGATGGTGAGTAGGGAAATGTGTGAGTTTGTGTTAGGCCAATACTGCATCTCCCTGAAACATAACAGCAGAAAGTAGTG